TGCTTCCAGAGTCACGTGGCTTTATAGACTCATTTTAGCTGCCGGAGGTCACGGGTGACTTTGTTGTTAGTTGACTGTCGACCTGCGCATGCGCGAGGATGATCATCCAGTGCTTAAGCACCGCCTCTGGCGGTCAGGAAGGATGAATAGAACACGGAGTGAAGGAAAACACAAGGTTTGAATAGACAAGACTAATGAGACACAGGTGAGACACATGAGGGCCGTTTCTGATGGTTTTTACTGATTTTTAAAGACCCACAGAATATTGTGTACTATGACTATCCTACACCAGATTCTAAAAGAATGGACTGTCTACTTTCCTCAGCAAAAAGAATTTTGTTTATAGCTTTTTTCGTTCCCCTGTAATCCTCCGTCGAGTAGAGGGAAGTTTTACTGAAATCACCAGAAATCACCAGAAAGTTGAGAAAAAGAGGCACAAAATGTGCACCTAACTGTTTTCAAACCATTCAGAGAGAAATGCTGCCACCTGCTGGCTCGATAAAATATGGTCTCAAGTCATCCCCATACCAGGGACGTGCGGTGAGGTTTGTGATTGGGGAGGCACTGACTTTAAAAGTCAGATTTACAATCATTATTCAAATAAAATAGCATTTAATCACCAATGCAATGACATCCACAAACTTTATATACTGTAAAGATAAGAGAACCAGCTTCTTTTAATAATCTCACAACAAATCTAGCTGCTGACTCTGCTCCGCATCAAACAACATCTTTAAGAAGCGCAGGTGCGAGAGACGCGAGGAGAGAGAGACGCGAGGAGAGAGGAGCAGAGAGAGACAGAGAGGAGCAGAGAGACGGAGACGCGAGGAGCAGAGAGAGACGGAGACGCGAGGAGAGAGAGACGCGAGGAGAGAGGAGCAGAGAGAGACAGAGAGAGACAGAGAGGAGCAGAGAGACGGAGACGCGAGGAGCAGAGAGAGACGCGAGGAGAGAGGAGCAGAGAGAGACAGAGAGGAGCAGAGAGACGGAGACGCGAGGAGAGAGGAGCAGAGAGACAGAGAGGAGCAGAGAGAGAGAGAGAGGAGACAGAGAGAGGAGAGACGCGAGGAGAGAGAGGAGCAGAGAGAGACAGAGAGGAGCAGAGAGACGGAGACGCGAGGAGCAGAGAGAGACGGAGACGCGAGGAGAGAGAGAGCAGAGAGAGACAGAGAGAGACAGAGAGGAGCAGAGAGGAGCAGAGAGACGGAGACGCGAGGAGCAGAGAGAGACGGAGACGCGAGGAGAGAGAGACGCGAGGAGAGAGGAGCAGAGAGAGACAGAGAGGAGCAGAGAGAGACGGAGACGCGAGGAGCAGAGAGAGACGGAGAGGAGCAGAGAGACGGAGACGCGAGGAGAGAGAGACGCGAGGAGAGAGGAGCAGAGAGAGACAGAGAGGAGCAGAGAGACGGAGACGCGAGGAGAGAGAGAGAGACGCGAGGAGAGAGGAGCAGAGAGAGACAGAGAGGAGCAGAGAGACGGAGACGCGAGGAGCAGAGAGAGACGGAGACGCGAGGAGAGAGAGACGCGAGGAGAGAGGAGCAGAGAGAGACAGAGAGGAGCAGAGAGACGGAGACGCGAGGAGCAGAGAGAGACGGAGACGCGAGGAGCAGAGAGAGACGGAGACAGAGAGGAGCAGAGAGAGACAGAGAGGAGCAGAGAGACGGAGACGCGAGGAGCAGAGAGAGACGGAGACGCGAGGAGAGAGAGACGCGAGGAGAGAGGAGCAGAGAGAGACAGAGAGAGACAGAGAGGAGCAGAGAGACGGAGACGCGAGGAGCAGAGAGAGACGCGAGGAGAGAGGAGCAGAGAGAGACAGAGAGGAGCAGAGAGACGGAGACGCGAGGAGAGAGGAGCAGAGAGACAGAGAGGAGCAGAGAGAGACAGAGAGGAGCAGAGAGAGGAGACGCGAGGAGAGAGAGGAGCAGAGAGAGACAGAGAGGAGCAGAGAGACGGAGACGCGAGGAGCAGAGAGAGACGGAGACGCGAGGAGAGAGAGAGCAGAGAGAGAGAGAGAGACAGAGAGGAGCAGAGAGGAGCAGAGAGACGGAGACGCGAGGAGCAGAGAGAGACGGAGAGGAGCAGAGAGGAGCAGAGAGAGACGAGAGAGAGAGAGCAGAGAGAGACAGAGAGGAGCAGAGAGACGGAGACGCGAGGAGCAGAGAGAGACGGAGACGCGAGGAGAGAGAGACGCGAGGAGAGAGGAGCAGAGAGAGACAGAGAGGAGCAGAGAGAGACGGAGACGCGAGGAGCAGAGAGAGACAGAGAGGAGCAGAGAGACGGAGACGCGAGGAGAGAGAGACGCGAGGAGAGAGGAGCAGAGAGAGACAGAGAGGAGCAGAGAGACGGAGACGCGAGGAGCAGAGAGACGGAGACGCGAGGAGAGAGAGACGCGAGGAGAGAGGAGCAGAGAGAGACAGAGAGGAGCAGAGAGACGGAGACGCGAGGAGAGAGAGACGCGAGGAGAGAGGAGCAGAGAGAGACAGAGAGGAGCAGAGAGACGGAGACGCGAGGAGCAGAGAGAGACGGAGACGCGAGGAGCAGAGAGAGACGGAGACAGAGAGGAGCAGAGAGAGACAGAGAGGAGCAGAGAGACGGAGACGCGAGGAGCAGAGAGAGACGGAGACGCGAGGAGCAGAGAGAGACGGAGACGCGAGGAGAGAGAGACGCGAGGAGAGAGGAGCAGAGAGACGGAGACGCGAGGAGAGAGAGACGGAGACGCGAGGAGAGAGAGACGCGAGGAGAGAGAGACGCGAGGAGAGAGAGACGCGAGGAGAGAGAGACGCGAGGAACATAAACAATAATTTAAACAAGTTGCAGAACTCTTGAGCAGTGTTTGAATCAGTGTTTTTCGGAAAAGCACTACTTTGCCGGTATCTGTCAATGTTCAACATAAAACACAGATTAACAAACTCCTCCCCCGCAGCCGGACTAACCTCGTAAGTCCAGTGGTGGTCTCCCAGTCTATATTAATTCTTTCTTTGTTTGAAAGTCCAATTGAGAAAAAAAATCTTCATTCAAATCATCCATTTTCCAGCAAAAGAAATAGCATTTTGGGCTGATTGTTTGTTAGCAACTCTGGTATGAACTTTATGCTCACTATCACCCCTAGCGGTGAGGCACAGATACCGCCTGCCTCACGCCAAGCTTTTTCCTTGTGTGTTCATCTACGATCAAAAGACTTAAACTAAATATAAATTGTACACACATACGTGCAATACACTACTAAACACTAAGAGGAGTTTAAAAAATGTTTTTAAAGCAGGATATTTGAAACAAACGGTGATATATCAACTGCACGAGCTGAGTGCACTCAGACACACACACACACACTGTGAGGGAGCGGTCTGAGGTGAGGCACGCAGGAGCGCTGCCTCACCTCGTCTCTTTGAATAGGAATAACGGGATTTCGGCGATTTTGACTTCAGAAATGATCAAAACTGATGGGAACCGTGCCGAATATACATTAAAAGCATAGGACAGTGGATATAAATTATATATTTAAACTAAAATAATTATTAGTTTCCAATAATGGCAGGTGAGGCTCTGCCTCCCCTGCCTCCCCTGACTGCACGTCCCTGCCCCATACATATTAGATAGAATAGACATCTGGGAACGTGAAAATAGCGAAAAAGGCACACGACGTTACTATTTGCTTTGACGTATTTGTGCGTCAATGGGACACAATGAGTTAAAAGTATGCAAACTAAAAAAAAATTCTGATAAGATAGACACCGCATGTTGTGATCTGTTTTGGTCCCAATATTTGATTTTCACAAAACTGTGAAAGAACATGTGCTAGTTATGAATAAAAAGAAACAGGTACCCCAGCTTTAAAGGAGCAGTATGTAGTACCTGCCCAAAAGTGGTACTTCAATCTCTGACTCAGGTTGCCAGATATGCAGACGAATCAAGCTAGGACCATAATATCTGAATATGCAAGAGATTTGTCAACAACAAATCTATAACCAACACTTTTTTCCCAAAGGACCCGATAGAAATCCTCCTTTTGTTCCATGTTTTGTCATTAATATTTGAGAATTGAAACAAGACCTTTTTCTGCAGCCACATGTTACTTTACCAGTGACATTAGCTCGACGGAGTGAGTTCTGGCAACCCAGATTTTACCTTTCTGATGGGTAAGACGTGGAGGGCGGGACATCAAAATGAAAACAATAACAGGATTTAGGGGCTCTGAAACTCATTTTGAAATCCCAATATCTCAGTTTAACTACTGTTATCATTTAAGTAAGGGAAAACGTATATTACGCAGGTCATTATCGGAGAATAAGTACCGACAGGCCGAAGCGGACCCCGGATTTTGACGTAGATAAATAGTATTTTTGTCATGAAAACAAGACCAGTAAATTCTGAAAATCTCCGTGCACGTGTGTGAAGAATGTATATGTATAAGTATTCTCTGATTAACATTTAAATGTGTTGATTGATTGGTATTTGCGTTTATTGAGCGTGGCTAGCTCCGGAGTGGCCGGAACTACTTGCGGAGTTATCCACGCATCTGAAATACAAGCAGAGAGTGCGTTGCCATGGGCAGCGGTCATTATTGTTTTGAGATTATATAGAAAATAATGACCGGTAGAACGTTTTGAAATTACATTCAAATCAATGGCGCGTTCTGCTGCTGTGAGGAGCTGTATAATATAAGAAGTATAATGAAAAAAGCATGGTTTATTAATGCTTTTGACAGATTAAGGCCATTCAATGAGGACTTGACAGGAAAATCTCATTTGACAGGGACATTGCACAATACATTTTTCAGACTGGGCATAGTTTTCATCCGTTGTCCTTGAGCAGAGGCAAAGTGACGGCAAGTTTACAGTTGGCACAGAAATGAATAGATACAATGGCCTAGTCAGAATTTTAAATACAGGTAAAATGCACCATCCCTAACCACAAAGACACATGAGAATTACCCTCTGCTTTTCTGTGTTCATTTATAATGTGAGTGTATATTCCCTTGTGCTGCAGGCTGGAGCTTCAGCATGGGCTCGGCCTACCAGTTCCACAGCTGGAGAGTGTTTGTGGTGGTGTGCGCTCTGCCGTGCGTCTCTGCGGTCGTAGCTCTCACTTTTATGCCCGAGAGCCCACGCTTCTACCTGGAGGTACTGAGAACAAGTGCAGACTGCAGCATCACGACTCTAAATGGAAAGGCTCCCGTGGGCAAGACATACACAGCACAGTGGGATGAGACACACTAATAAATAGCAAATGAAATGAGTTGTTCATAATACTTGTACTGATACTATAGTGTTTTGTGCTGGCCTTGAGTTGATATGACCTTTAATTTTGTGATTGACACCATATAACAAATAATTATGTGATGTATCAATGATGAATATTATGATGAAAATAACATGAATATTATGCACAGAATTTGCTATATTTTTCTGAAGTGTAAGTCATGCAACTCACTGACTGCCATTGACGTACTTGTCTGAGACCCTCTATTCAACTGGGGATTACAGGACAACAAAAATAGCTAGAAACAAATTTATTTTTGCAGATGAAAGTAGACAATCCAGTCTTTCAGAATCTTGTTTCATATTTCACATAGTCGTTGGAAATAATATTCTGTGGGCCTTGAGAAATCATCAAAAACGGCTGGCTGTCAATGAGTTAATCCAAAATGGCATCAAGCCTTAACCTGGACTAAACCAGTATGTACGGTATGTATTTATCTATTTTGTTGCATGGGGAAATCTCCAATATATGTAATCTGGAGCAGGGGTTGGGTTTTCAGTCGTTATTAACCAGGAAAGTCCCACTGATCTTTCAAAACATCTTATTTGGGGTTGGCTCGTGTATATGTCCTCAGAAGAACGAGAAACTGTTGCCCAAGGAGAAAACTCATGGTCCTGTGTCGTCGAGTGAGGCGAGAGAATTAACCGCACAGCCATTGTGTGTGTGTGTGTGTGTGTGTGTGTGTGTGTGTGTGTGTGTGTGTGTGTGTGTGTGTGTGTGTGTGTATAGATGAATGGTTCCTTAAATGTAAATATAAAGCGCTGCGAGTGCCTTGGAAGGTAGAAAAGCACGATACTAAAGTGACGTAAAGTGATCTCAAATTCAAATGAACTACAAATGCAAAACTGTTATAGCATCCTCAGACTTTCAAACTGTGTAATTGTGTCCCGTAATAAAGCGTTAAATGCATTTCACTGGTTTGAATCTAAACCTCTTTCTCAGGTTGGAAAGCATGACGAGGCGTGGATGGTGCTGAAACAGATCCACGACACCAACATGCGTGCACGAGGCGAGCCCGAGAGAGTGTTCACAGTGAGTGCAGTCACTGATGAGAGGATTTGATCATAGAGTGTGTTATATGGTGTCAGTGTTGTTTCTGTGGGACCGCCAGAGTAAATGAAAGTGTCTCTCCCTGCAGGTGAATAGGATAAAAATCCCCAAACATCAGGACGACCTGGTAGAGATGCAGACGGAGTCGACAAACCCGGTGCTCAAAGTCCTGCTCAAGGTCCCCTCAGAGCTCAAAGGGGTAACACACAAATAGAACCATTTCATTTCATCCTGGTGTATTTCAAGATTGTTGTAGAATAATTGTTTTCCTTGTAGATCTGGACAACCTTTCTGAAATGCTTTAATCCTCCAGTCAAAGATAACACCATCAAATTAGCTGCTGTTTGGTTCACCTTGTCCTTTGGGTAAGACTTTGATGAGTGACTGAATATTAAGCGGAAGAAAATAGATGGATGGATGGATGGATAAATATTTACAGTAATTGCATTGCTTTGTAATTGCTTCCTGAATAGCAATGTGGCTAATGTATGTATTTGTATTTTATATTAGTGGGGACATTTGCTTAGAGTACAAAGAGCAAATTTGGACTTATGTTTTTAGCAAAAATATGGTACAGTTCATAACGCACTGTCCCTTTCAAATAAAGACTAAACTAAACTATCAGCTGTTGATATCCTGGGCAGATGACGTATCACACATTCCTGCTTCAGTGAGTTTATGTGAACAGCAGACAGCTGATATGAGGAAGGGCTTGTTTAAATGTGAGAGGGGATATTGCCAGAGTAGATTTTATGGACTTATTACGTTTTAGGAGGGATGGGTTGCAAGTTTATTGTCAAAATAGATTGGATTTACCGAAGCGCTTTGATGATCACGAGTCAACAGTGCGGTAAAACAGGTTGTGTCCAGTTAAAGCGGTCGTCTAACTGCTTTGTTATGCTGCATCAGTCGTTGGTTCACTGTTGCATTACATCATGAAAACCTGCAGCTTCTTCTAAGATGACTGCTGTGAATTAGTCCCATACATAATACTATTTTTGTATTAATTTAATTGAGTAATAGTAGTTTGGGGGAAATGCTCAAATACCAGTGGAGCATGGAGGTGGCAGCATCATGTTGTGGGAAGGTTATTCAGCGAAAAGGAGAAGTTTTAAAAATCTTGCCACATATTATGAAATGCATTCAGGCTATTTGTAAAATAAATCACATTTGAGCTTCACAAAACTACTGTACTAAAATAGTGGTACCATTAAAATATACAATTTATTCTGTCTCCACAGTGACGGTTTAGAAACATGAAAAGCCCTATCCCGTACCTTAACTTTATTTTCAAAACGCAAGTCCAAATTAATGTGTTTTTCACCATTGTATGACCGTTTTGCGGGCCGCGTTTGTGTTTTTAGGTATTACGGTCTGTCTGTGTGGTTCCCGGACGTTATCAAACACCTCCAAGCCGACGAATACGCCTCCAGAGTGAAGATCCACAACAACGAACGCATCGAAGACATTACATTCAACTTCACCCTCGAGAACCAGATCCACCGGAATGGACTGTTCCTAAACGACAGGTAATCTCAGGGAAGTCTGCAGCTGGCGTTTTGTGTTGAAAGGAGGAAGGCAATGCTATTTTTCATTCCTGCAAACAGCGAGTATCCTTCCTCTTTTATCTGCTGTCTGGGCAGGAAATTAAAAGACTTATCTCGCTCATTTCCACCTTCCATGCCAAACGTGACCGCGTGCAGTTTAGTTTTGAGTCTCCTGTTTGCGCCATGTTCACCAGACTGGGTTTTATTAAACATTAATAAAAAGTGGCCAGATGTAAAAAGTTGCGGTATGGAACACAACTGGAACTTTTGCCAAACAAAACTTCAGATTCAAGCATGTTTATCACGAGAACTCGTTGAGCAGTCAATATGACGGCTTTTAGTTTTTGAAGTGTAATTACTAGACACAGGATACATAACATACCTATACATATACATAAGATAAGATGAAATGAGATAAAATAAAACTTTATTGTCAAATTTGGCTGGGTTCGAATCCTGGTCGGAACAAGGCCTTTGCATGTTCTCCCCATGTCTGCGTAGGTTTCCTCCGGGTACTCTGGTTTCCCCTACCACTAAAAACATGTGCAATAGTTCAGGGTGAATGAGTTGTTTGTGAGTGTCAATGTGGGACAACGGATGGAAATTAGCCCATGAATACAATCCGGAATGATGTGTTCATTAACATGTACTGTCCCAACCAAATTAACAATAAATAAAAAATAAAAAAATAAAAAAATAGGAAAAGAAAGGAAATGTGCAAACATGATTAAAAAAAAGTAAATTAAAAGTAAAAAGTAACGATAGTAGTGGGAGTTTACAGTCCTAGGTCATCTCATGTGCGTTCTTGGTCTTTTTCTGTATCTAAATGTAGCTTTGTTCTTTACTTTTGAAATGTGAGGTGTATTCTATCTTTAACTCATTTTACACCAGAGAATATGACGTGCTAGTTACCATAGCAACACACTGTTTACTGTCAGAAGTTAGCATTAGCCTTTTTCGCCATGTTATTAGTCACTAGTTTTAGCACTAATTAAAATGGGTGTAAACATTTATAAATTATTTTTTGTTAATACATTTGGTGTTGAACTAAACATTCTTCAATCCTTTTTTGTCAGGTTCATTGCGATGAAGTTCAAAGCCGTCACGTTTATTGACTCGTCTTTTATCAACTGTTACTTTGAAGATGTGTCCTCTGTGGGCTCCTCCTTTAAGAACTGCACCTTTGTCGACTCTTTTTTCTACAACACAGGTCAGTGCACTTCTCCTCTGTCCTTCTGTGTCCTTCTGTGTCCTTCTGTCTTTTGCCTCACGGAGAGAACAGTTAACCTAAGTGTTGATTTCCCTTCATTTTCTGCAAATGTGACCCAGGGGAATGTCAAGAACGATAAATAAAACACAGTCCAATGCAACAAAAAAGTAGCTAATTCCAGACGCAACTTAACAATATAGCATCTTCCCTTTAATGTGGCGCTAAAAAGGGTCGTCAGTGTTTTTAACCAGAAAATAAGAGTTAATTTGCGGAGGTGGAAAATGCGGCGGGGGTTAGGGTCAGGTGAGTTCAATCGGATGAATGAGCTGGACATAAATTGCAGCCGCCACAGTCTTTAATGCACGCCTTTTTACTCCATCGTAAAACATTTATAATGGGGTATTTCTGTGAATACATTTGACCTTGAACACCTCTGTAATCACGTAAGACTGTCTATATCTGTCTAAATATAATTCCTTTTTCGTCTGATAGATATTGATGACTCTAAGTTGATAAAGTCGCGAGTGATCAACAGTTCTTTCCATCACAACAAGACCGGTTGCCAGGTGACGTTTGACGATGACTACAGCGCCTACTGGGTCTATTTTGTGAACTTTTTGGGCACATTGGCCGTGCTGCCTGGAAACATCGTCTCTGCTCTCCTCATGGATAAAATAGGACGCCTCAGCATGTTAGGTATTGTCTTTATCAAAGATTTGAAACTATATTCTCTATGTCTCTTTTACACCTGCTTTAATATGTTGTACTTGAATGTAGTATTCTCTCTAGGCACTGGTGTTTTACTTACTACCTATACCCTCCCTTTTCTCTATACTTACAAACATCCCAGTAGAAAACATTCTAAAATTATAAGTCCTTTGGACCATTTTAGCACCAAGATTCTGATCCAGAAGTCATTATTAAATCTGAAAGGAGCCTATAACATTTGACAGAGCTTTGTGCTGTTATCCCAGGACTTTTTAAGCTGTTTCTACCATATACTGCTATGTGTGGTATAGTTTCATATTAAATACATCAAGGGACATATAATAAGATTGTAGGAAAAGTAAAACAATTTAAAACCCTCTTCAGGCAGACGTTGCAGATTTGTGTCATAACCTGGCTCAAGGCCATGACAAATATGGACGCAGACACCGTAAATGGATACTTAAAGGGTGTTTATTAAACAAAGATTAACCCAAAGTACCAAAGTAACAATAATAATGAGGTGTGACTGTCTGCATCAGTGGTGTGTGCGAGTGAATGGTTGTGTGTTCGTATGGTGCGATGTGAAGTGTGATGCAGAACAAAACCATAACAGGAACAGAAAACAAAGTGGTGTGGCACAGGACGCAGGCTGAGAGAGAGTGAGGCTGTCAGCAGGCCGGTCCATAAATAGGCGTGGCGCGTCGGGCCCTGACGCACCACGCTCCAAGGTCCGCCCACAGCTCCACCTGTACAGAGGTAGACAGCAGTACAGAGCACAACCACAGAGAGGAGGAAGGGGTCGTGACATTTGCAAGAACTTAATTTCTTATTACCTAACTTCTCCACATCCATATTTGACCCTTTTTTATTCAGAAGCATCGCTGCTGGACTTAGTTGAGCTTCAGAAGCTCACAGTTTTCCACCTGCTCACCAGGGGGCGGAGCTGTCTCACTTCCACAATGTCAGTATCCTTGGCTAGGCATCAATTTCAATTCAGTATCACTACCAACCTTTAATAATTTAAAACCAAAACCGCATAAAATTAAGATGAATATATATAGATACAGTACATGCCGATTAGTAAATTATACCTCTGCTGGGTTTTTCCCCGGGTCAGCTCTATTTACCACAGCGGGCCAATGTTGCAAATCTGCAACGTCCCAGAATGCATTGCCTGTGAAGGGAGAGTAGTTCCCTGAGGTACGACAGAGCCAGGCCCCTCAGGTTTTGAAGCTAACTAAAGGTGTGTCCTGCAGGAGGCTCCATGGTGCTCTCAGGCATCAGCTGCTTCTTCCTCTGGTTCGGCACCAGCGAGTCCATGATGATCTTCATGTTGTGTCTCTATAACGGTTTGAGCATTTCTGCCTGGAACTCTCTGGACGTGATCACTACCGAGCTGTATCCCACCGACAGAAGGTAATCTCTTATCACAATAATCAGAAAGCTGGAGTATTTGACTTCTTGTTTTGTAAATACACGTTTGCCTGAAATAGTCTTGTGAACAAATAAGACCATAATATTTTCTTAAAACATTGTATATTTAACATGAAAGCCCTATCCCTAACCCTTGGCTAAAAAAGGGCTGGTTCCTTAGACCACAATTCAAATTGAAATTCAAGCTCAACCAGACGTAACTTTGTATAATTTGTCTTGACGGTCGTCTCTCGTTCACAGGGGAACAGGCTTCGGCTTCTGTAACGCCATGTGTAAACTGGCCGCGGTTCTGGGTAACCTGATCTTTGGTTCCCTGGTGGGCATCACTAAAGCCATCCCCATCCTGCTGGCCTCCGCGGTGCTGGTGGGCGGCGGCCTGATCGGACTGCGGCTTCCAGACACTCGCTTCAACGTCCTCATGTGAAACAAAAAGGGTTTTCACAGGTGCGATCTGGGTATCAGCTGTTCACAAAGCCAAATCTGACCTTATTTCAGGCTTATCTATGTCATCGACTTTCATTATTGCTATGGGCTATTTGTGAATCTCTGCTACACAACGTTGCAACTGAGGAGCTGTGACTATATAGATAAATACATCAAAAGATCATATTTCTCAATTTGGAGGCAATTGCAGTGCAAAGATCATAACACCAGGCCTTAACACTAGAACTCTGAGAGCAGTCAATATGACGGCTTTTGGGAGTGTAAATACTCGTTTTTGGTTCTCAAAACTTTTTCTGTTTCTGAAATTGAAATCCTCTTAGCCTGGACTGGTCCTAGACTGGTTCAAAGCAACCTCAGCCTGGAGCAAGTGCTAGTTACCGTAGCAACACTGTTTACTTGCAGTAGTTAGCATTTAGCTTGGCTGCATTTTATGTATATCAACCAGTTTTAGCATGTATTAAAGATAAAATCCGTATGAATTACTTAAGTTCAATTCAATCAGTGAAAGATGTAATCCTTTTTTTGGGAGGATACTTTTTAGAATTCCCTCGATTATAACGAGAACTTTCCAAACGACTGCTATGGGGGTTTGTTCTAGCCGTTGCTGGGAATTGCTAGTGTTAAGAAACAACAGCTCACATACAAAAGGCTGTAATTACTTTTAAATTATACTATTCTCTTTTATGCCCATTGAATTTTGAAAAATAATAAGTTTGCTCTATTTGCCCGTGACTGAAGACGAAGGTGCTATATCATGTGTTTTACCTCTGTTTTATTGAAAGTCACTAAACTCCTTGACAATATTCTATCCTTTTGCAGCTTTTCTTCAAGAATAATAAGGCCATAAAATTCAATAACAATACTGTAGTTTATTTAGCGATGACGACAACTCAAGCAGCTAAATTTCTAACACGAGAAAAGTTTACAATTTGTGCTTTTCGCTGTAACAGACTTCTGTGATCTCTTTGTTTTGGATGCTCCAGTGTTGTGTTTACGTGTTGTGGCTCTTCAAGGGTTTTTGCAATCTCTGGCTGTTCCGTGTGCTGTGTCTGTCGCCCTCGGCTGCTGCTGCTGCTGCCCCCTACTGACTCGGAGGCCTTCTTCAATGCTGTGCCTCTTGTCCTTGAGCCCATCTTTTCCTTCCAAAACTTGCTGGAAGCTTTTTGCTGCTTTGTACTGTTTGTCTTCTTCAGGATGTGTGTGATTGTGTGCATGAACGTTAGGGCAAGCTACCGACTCGATAAAGTTAGTGTCTTAATATCAAAACACTGTTATCGTGAAATTCAAGCCATGTTGCGGTCCAATTCGGGTTGTACTTGTGTAACCTGCTGGATTACTGGAATAGTTCATTTGCAAAGAAGCCAGAATGTTAAGATACAAAAAACACTTGATTCAAGCTATTATTATCTCATATTTTATCATTTTCTGCTGTGTGGTTCTTCTAAACCAGACAATAGTAGGTTAGCAATGTACTGTACCTTGGTATAGAAGCAGACCAAATTCTTTTATTTCTACCAAGAAGACAATGTGAACCTTCCTAAACAAACATGGATCTGGCTTTTAAAAAAACGAACGTCCGGGTAAATGTATGTCTGTTATTGCAAATTAACTATTCACTTCTTTTTCTTTGAGGGACAAATATGTAATGACAGCTTTACAAACGTTTAGCTTTTTAGTTTAGAAAATCAAGCTATAGCAGCCGTAGAAATCATGGTCTTTCAAAACTTATCTTCCAAATCACTGCTAAAAGTGGCTAAACGCAGGCAATAGTTTTTTCTACTCTGTGTTTAATGCCGTGGTGTGTGTGTGTGTATGTGTGTGTGTGTGTGTGTGTGTGAGCTGACACGTTTCACTTCTGGCGCAGCTGTTGCAGATGTGCAGCTTTATTCCCCTCACTCACTCACTCCTTTCTCCTGCACAGATCTCCTGCATGTTTGTGTCTGTTATGGGAGCTTCATGTTGATGTTGTCACTGTTCCTCTTTCCAATCCTCAAAGGTGAATGTATCATACTAAGTGTTCTCGCATTACTTATACATCACCTGTTTATGCAGAGTCGTGGAGAAAGAGCATGTGACTGGGGAAAATGATGTTTACAATTTAAAAAGAAAGAAAAAGGTGTTTTCAAAAATTGATTGCAAACTTGAAAACTGTATTCTCACATCGGATCGCCTTTGCACACAGACGTAGGGAGGGCGGAGGCTGAAATATTTTGTTATGAAAAGGTTTCCTCAGATGTGTAGTCCTCACATTTAATAAAGAAATCCATTTGAATGCTTTGTCCAGTTTCCACTCTCTTCAATCATTATCATTATTATTATGTGTTTATTTGATAGGGACAGAACAAGAAGCATTGTTACAGGAACCGATCATTTCCTTTAGTATGAAATGAATTGAGTCTTAGTCTTAGTATGTGATTAGTAAGATGGGTAGAACTACTGGTGTGGTGAGTATGTGTTCTTATCTTGTAACTACGGTCATTTTAAAGTTGTCCAATCCCTTGTTTTATCTCATCTTGGATACTGTTCCATTGGTCTGTTGCCTGCTGCAATACAGACATAGTTTTAAATTGGGCTTAATTTGCCTGTACAAACAGCATGCATAACATTTGATCTTGGCCTATGGTTAAGCTACAGTATAACCTACAGTATGTAGCCTCTTATATGGAAGACTTTTGGTGTGATCAGATTATGAATTTTAAAGTAGCTTGAATTTTTCCATTTGAAATGTTTAACCGTGAAAAAGCATGTTTGAATATTTTACAAAATTAAATGTGATTCAACTTCCATACTTTTAATGTTTCTGAAAAGGGTAATATTGGACATATGTACATCAGATTTACTCCCATTCTAATCGGCAGGCTCGTACAGTATACTGACTTGGCCGTCAATCGACCCAGAACAAAACCATTTATTTATTTATTTATTTAAGCATCTGTTCAAATACATGCAAGACATTCAACTCAAACAGTTAGTCAATTGCAAAAAAATACCAATTGACCAACTGTGGTCCCCGAACCGAACCGGGGTCCGGTTCGGAGACCACAAGACTTCATCTCTGTTGTTTGCGGACAATGTTGTCCTGTTGGCTCCAACGAACCAGGACCTACAACATGCACTGGGGCGGTTGCAGCCGAGTGTGAAGCGGCTGGGATGAGAATCAGCACCTCCAAATCTGAGGCCATGGTGCTCGACCGGAAAAAGGTGCCTTGCCCTCTCCAGGTGGGTGGAGAGGTCCTTCCTCAAGTGGAGGAGTTCAAGTATCTCGGGGTCTTGTTCATGAGTGAGGGAAGGATGGAGCGTGAGATTGACAGGCGGATCGGTGCAGCGTGCGCAGTGATGCCGTCGCTGTATCGGACCGTCCTGGTGAAGAGGGAGCTGAGCCGAAAGGCAAAGCTCTCGATTTACCGGTCAATCTTGGTTCCCTCCCTCACCTATGGTCATGAGCTTTGGGTAATGACCGAAAGAACGAGATCGCGGATACAAGCGGTCAAAATGAGCTTCCTCCGCAGAGTGGCTGGGCGCGCCCTTAGAGATAGGGTGAGGAGCTCAGTCACACGGGAGGAGCTCGGAGTAGAGCCGCTGCTTCTCCATGTCGAGAGGAACCAGTTGAGGTGGCTCGGGCATCTGTTCCAACATGATGCTCAGAAGGAGTAGGAGGAAGTTTAAAACGTATTGATTCCTACCCTTCTTAAATGGTCTAATATATATATATTTACATGATTTATCCGGAATAATTTCAATATACCGATCATTTCAAATAAAACAACAAAGGTTTAACATTATAGTCGTTAAGTTTCTGAACAAAATATTGCAGGTCAGTAACTTAAACATGGTCAGAGTAAGTCAGCTGTTTATATGGAAACAACACAACCACATCTGCACACATGAAACCAACACAAGTAACATTACTCTTTTAAATATTGCATAACAATGTTTTCTTTACATTTCTTTTTAAAATGGATTATATTTTGAGATAATTTTAGTTCAACACTGAGACTATTCCATTATTTAACACCACAACTTGAAATACAGAAACTCTTTCTTACTGTGTGGCATCGCCTCATTTTTAAATGCTGTTGTCCTCTTAAGTTGTAGACACCTTCCCTTACATTAAACAAAGACTGTAATTGTTGAGGTAATAATTTATTACTAGCTTTGAACATAGTTTGTGCAGTTTTAAACGACACAAGATCGTCTAATTTGAGAATCTTTGATTGGAGAAATAAAGCATGAGTATGTTCATTAAAACTGGCTCGATGGATAACTCTGACCGCTTGTTTCTGCAGCACACGCAGTGGTTATGGGAAAACTAATGCAAAAAAGCAATTCAACTTTGTAACGGGAGATGAGGGATCAATCTGCCTTGTATTTTTTAAAAAGGAAACATAAATCACATTAGTGCAATGCATCATTATAATGTATGGCTTGATCTATGCCTTATCTATATTTAATATGATGGAAAAGAGTTCATGTATTGTTTTATTATTTTGTTTATTTTTGTAATAAATTTATCTTTATAATATACAATAAACAACAACAATAATACACTTATAGAATAACATATTGAAAATAATACTAATTTCAGCGCCTGAAAATATTCACACAAAAATCCTGAACTAAATGTGATGATGTATTGTATCTCTACTTGGGGAACACCTGGAAGAGACATAATAAGATCAACTTCAAATACTATTGATACAGATCCTTGTCTGACCTCTGACACTATAAGCAGAGCAGGGTCTGGTTAGTACTGTAATGGGAGACCTCTGGGAACACCAGGTCCCACAGTGGTGTCCTTGGGCAAGACACTTCATCCACATTGCTTATAGTAAGTCTGGAGTGTGCTTGAATGTTCGGTAATGCTTGGAAAGGCCAGTGACATAAACCGTTTGCCTCGCTCCTGTCACTGTGCCCCAGAGCAGCTTTGAGCGTCCAAAACTGTTTTGTACCAGATCCACTGACTCATCTCTGCATTCATTCTGTCGCTGAGCAAGATGTGTAACTGAAGGCCATGTTGTGTGTGTTTATTTCGGCGTTACATACACAAATGCATCCTGTTTACTTCCTGTCATTATGGTGATAAAATGGTCTGACACTTAGTGGTGACCGAAAAGATGTATTCTCAAGATAGCCTTCATGCTTTCATGTAAATGATGTATGTTGGGCCATTGCCATATATTATTCACATTTGAATAGTTCATTTGCTGAAAACAGATATTAAAACAAAATGTTTGAAATGCTAACAATGTGCCTTTTGTCAAGTTTTTGAAAATCCAGATGAATTTCGGTGCCATACAAATAATGTTTCACCCCTTCTTGAGCAAATTATTTCAAACCTACTGCAAATAGCAAAACGTGTTGAAGACTGGTCCGTGTACTTTTGCGTTCAATAAATGTTCTATTTGTGAAGGGAAATCGAAAATCGAAAAAAGGCAATATACAAAAATGACCATTTTGGTTTTTTTCTTTGCTTATAAGAAATATATATATATTATAATAACCGGATTAGGGAAGTAGAAAATGCAATAATTAACCTTTTTTTTTTTTTTTTTAATGTATTTAATACATTTCGGTGTCAATCGATTACCTGGAAGTGAAACAAGTTTGTTTACTCGCACTGGTTTAGTATTACTTGTGGACCCCTGATAATTTGTGATAATCACGGAGAACGTCTGAGATTTTGCAGTGCATTCACACGGGATAAGCAAAATCTGTAAAATACTATTTTCACTGACATCTCACATAACGGCCGCACGTGCGCGGGGCTCCCCGCTTCACGCAGTCCAGAGAGTTGCGTCTGACCCATGGATCTAGGTCTGACCACAGTTATACAGTCTATGGACCACTGCAGCCACAGAGACCATGAGGACAAACATTTTACTACTCTACCCATACTGTCTGTGATGTTTAATAATAGTTTGTATGGACTACTCGTAAACCACATACTCTGCTAAGATAAGTGCGAGCCGACAAATAGTAACGGCTGCATCAACCATAGACTGTATATATTTAACACGTCTGTACTGTATTACCACAGAGTGCAAAGTAAACGTACAAACACAACCCATCAGTCTGATCATTTAGTGTCTGTGAACACATTACACTGTGCTCTACACTTCTCCATAGACCTCACAGAGACAGCAGCAGCCGAGACTAAGCAGATGTGTACAGAGATATACTGTACAGTCTATGGTTAGATTAAATTAGAGCGAATAGGGCTGAAGTAAACAAACTTGTTTCACTTCCGGCTTATCGATTGACGCCGAAATGAATGAAATACATATTAAAAAAAGGTTAATTATTGCATTTTCTAGTTCCCAAATCCGGTTATTATAATATATATGTCTTACAAGCAATGTAAAAACCAAAATGGTCATTTTTATATATTGCTGTGTGCCTGAAAATGCAAAATAGCCTTTTTTAGATTTTCCATTTCCCTTCAAAAATAGAAAATGTATTAAACCCAAAAGTACACGGACCAAGACTGTAGCTAAATGAATATAACCTTTAGACACATTTTCAAAATGGATTAATCTGTGTTTTTTTGCAAATTAACTTATTCCTGAGAATTCGTTCCAACTGTAATTCATAATATACATCTTTCATTAAAACACATTAATATACATCTTTCATTATAATACATTAATATACATCTTTCATTATAATACATTAATATACATCTTTCTTTCTTCAGATTTTTCTAATGACTTGTTAGTCGACGCTGACGCTCTTACTCCTAAGGGCCCTGAAGTAGGGATTGGATCCTGTGGAGCGAGACATAAGCATGAACAAGAAGGGGTCCATTGCTGCATGAAGGCAACACAAACACACAGCAACATTAAAATACATGTATAAATCCTCTGTTCCATTTGAAAACAGCTGCACATAGTGGATAAAGTGCAGGACTCCGGCTGGGGTGAAGCAGACCAGAAAGATCAGGAAGACCAGAGAGCTGCTGCGTATGTACAAGCCCCAGTCACAGTGGGACTGGTTCAGTTCAGCCAAGATCCGCACAAAACACACCACAGACACCAGCAGAGGAAGGAGGAGGCCAAACAGAGTCAGCACCAGGTAGTAATACAAGAGAAACTGATGAGAATCCAACTCTAGGGGTAAGATGTCGTGGCAGGTGACAATGCCCAGTGGTTGGATCCTGTAGCTCTGATGGACCAGCAGCTCCGGGACCAGCCCAACTCCAAGCACCATCCACAGGACCAGTGTGGCCCACGCGGTGCACGTCCTCTTGGGTAAGCTCTTGTAGAGGAAGGGGTGTCCGACGGCCAGATAACGCAGCGCACTGATGCTGGCGAGTGTCTGGGCCGAGCAGTAGAGGTTGCCATAGAAACAGGCAGTGACCACACGACAGGCGGTTTCCCCGAAGACCCAGTGGTTCCCATGGAGGTGGTAGTGAGCCCTGAACACCAGCGACAGCAGCAGCAGCAGGTCAGACACGGCCAGGCTGCAGTACAGAATGGCGGACGGGACTTTTCGCACTTTGGAGGCGAGGGTGCAGAGGGTGAACAGGTTGGCAGGGACGCCCAGGGCCAAGGTGAGGATGTACAGGACTGGGATGAGGACGGTGCTTATAGAGCCTTGAAGGTAGGAGGCTGTTCTGTTACTGCTCAGTGTGAGGGTGTGAGGGTGTGAGGGTATAGAGCCAGAGGAGATGGAAGGAGAAGGTCCGGATATGTTCAGCTCCGAGGAGACTTCAGTCACAACCACGGGCCGTCCCACAAATGTCTTGAGCCGGGAACCCAGACTGGAATTTATGCTTTTATTTCCATATAGCTGGTCCTCAACTGTAACAAAACAAGAAAAGAATTGTTACTTCTAAGACACTGCATGAATGATCATAATTTTTATACACCAGTTTTGTTTATTAATTTGAAAAAGGAGGGACAATGTATATTAATGAACCTTTTTAGGGATTAGGGATCATTTTACATTTCATTATACATATATTTTTACAGATATTTACACAAAGAACTAGAACTAGAACACTGATCATTTTGATTTTTACTGTCCCACTCTGTCTTTATTTGTCTCTCTGCTTTATTCTGCTGCAACTGTTTTGACTGTTTTACTGCCTTATGCGGACTGTGCAGCAATTTGTAAACACTGTTTTTTAAAATCACTATACAAATAAAGATAAATTATTATTATTATTATTATTATTATTACATATCATACATTAGTACGTTTACCATCAGTGAATCCACAGCATACTATAAAACAAAGACAAACTCACCATTCTCCTGATGGTATCTCTTAAAACACAAACAGAAAACAAAAACAAAAACAACTTTATCCATTTCTTCTTGTGCTGAGTTCTGCTCCGCTCTTGAGACCTGTTTGGGTGAAAAGTACTTCCTTAGAACGACAGTCTGCAGAAATGTGAGCTGCCGAGGCAACTTCCTACTTCTGCATCCAGCCCATTATAGGAGACTCAGCCCAGAGTGAAAACATCAGTCAGCGGCGAATCTCTCTCCACCGCAACAAACAAACAGCATTATATAGGGTCAGTTACGTGTTATAACTTGTTTGTATGTGTATTGTTTTAATCTAACTTTTGCCCTGGAGCCTCTCAGTGGGACATGTGTTGCTTAAGGATCTGCATTCCAGGATAATTAGGATTTGTTTTCCCACAGCTTGAATGTGTGACTAATACAGATGTGTCATGATCTCCCGGCTATGTATTTCTTTCACACATCAGGACAATAAAGGTATATAGGAGGATTTTCTACTTCCAGGTGGATCATCCAGACTATTGGTCCTCCTAACTGTCAATCATTCTGGTAATACGTGCTCGTCAAATAAGACCAGAGAGTTTTTTCACAAAGTGGAGAGGGCGGTTCTTTCCCAACATTTGGGAAAATCGTCCTGTATACCTTTAAGCTAAACAGTTAAAGATGATTGTGTTACAGCCTCGTGCACATTGTTGTAATCATCTTTTGTGACTTATATTGAAACTCAAGCTGTTTTCAGCCATGTTGCGATCCGATTCGGGTTTAACTTGTGTAACCTGCTGGGTCCGTGTACTTTTGCGTCCAATACATTTTATATTTTTGACTGGAAATGGAAAATCGAAAAGCACAGCAATATACAAAAATGACCATTTTGGTTTTTTCATTGCTTATAAGACATATATATATATATATATATATATATATATATATATATATAATATATATATATATTTATAATAACCGGATTTGGCAACTAGAAAATGCAATAATTGACCTTTTTTTATTATTTATTCAATACATTTTGGCCTCAATCGATTACCCGGAAGTGTCTTATAAGCAATGAAAAAAACCAAAATGGTCATTTTTGTATATTGCTGTGTGCCTAAAAATGCAAAATAGCCTTTTTTCGATTTTCCATTTCCCTGCAAAAATAGAAAATGTATTGAATGCAAAAGTACACGGACCCCGCTGGAATACTGGAATAGTTTATTTGCAAAAAACAGATATCTCCTTTTTTCAAAATATGAATTCCTCTGGCTACAATCTTTAACATGATTTATTATGGGGTGAAACTGTATTGTATGGCACAAAAAAAGATCTGAAAGTATTAAGAGTGCAAAACGGGTTGAAAAATGAGTCAAAAAATCTCAAATTCTGCTTTAAAACAGGATTTTCCAATGGGACAAGCAAAATGAACTTGTTTTTCAGCACAGAAATACAGAAATGTTTTTAGTTCTTTGGAAAATTCCCCATAGATAAAGCTGCTGATGTTGGGCCTGTGAGCCGCTCTGCCACTAGAGGGCGTCTCCTCTACAGCACAGAGTCAGTGTTGGTCATAAATGTAACCAGAAACAAGTAGATCAAATACCACTTCCACTTTATTTATAGAGCACATTTCATAAACAGTTTCCGGAGCTGCACTGAACATTTAAAACTACAGCAAAAAAAAATGAATAATCAAGCTACACCAAGTCAAAAATACACCATAGAAATATGAAATGCATAAAAGTGTAACTCTCTTTTAAACATATTAATATCTATCTGCAAATATATGACATTATCCCTGTAAGTACTACATGAACGATTCAAAACTAACAACAACAGAATTCTACAGTTCGGTACAATACTATTTTTTCTTTAAGTTTCAATACTGTGAATATTTAGATAAAGAGAACCCTAATGAACATAGTACAGTTTGTAGAGTAGTCGTTTTATTATTATTATTTTTTTATCTTACAACGTAGTTAAAAATAATATTACTCAAGTCAAACTTAAAAAGTCCATGAAAATACTTGAGCAAACTATTTGCAGGTGTAAGTCTGTCTGTAATCTTTATATAATAATTATAACCATGCAAATTACTTTTAATAGTGCTTTTCATGACATCAGCATTACACACACACACACACACACAGACACATACACACACACACACACACACACTCAGATTCATACTTGGCAATTTGTGTGAAGTGTCTTGCCTCTGGACACAACAACAGTTTAGCACTTTACATCCCATCCCACTATGGAACCTTATGTTTCCAGAGGTCTCCCATCAGAATACTTACCAGGCCCAGCCCTGCTTAGCTTTTAATATCAGATGGTATCAAACCTTATAATGTAGGCACAAATGTAACTGACTGTACTTCTTCCCTGGGAACTGGGGGGGTCCTTAAAACTGTCTCTGTGTTTGTATTTGTCTGTAGCAGAATTGCGCAAAAATGACTTAACAGATTGAGTCTATATTTAGTTTGTAGATAAGACGTGATGTGAGGAAGTCCCCAGTCAAAATGTGAGATGGTCTGTGCTGTCGGTGGGGTATGGGCTCTCCAAGTGTGCAATTAAGATTTTAGTTTGCATTCAGGTCTACTTTTTATTTTTATTTTTTTGAAACAAATTGCCACATTTTACCTGCCCCTTAAATATATACAAAATACACTGAACTACTGCTATCCCAAGTTTATCTATTTAAACTCATACTCAGCTTTCACAATTGTATTCTAACTTTTAAGAGTCATTTTCATCCCCAAAAAAACGGAAACGGAAAACAACAGGAATGGATGTAGAGTCGGATCTGTCGTTTTTCCTGTGCTCTTATCTCCCACAGTCTGCATCCTGTTTGGGAACGCCTCTCCGCACTGACGCACCGGACACTGGAAACTGCAGAACTTCAAATTGAACGTTTAGGATAAAAACACGCGATCCTCAGTGCGCAGTGACTGTAAATAACATGACGGGTTTAAATGTTATATTTGTATTGTGTTTTTATGCTGCTGTTCCTAATAGCTATATGTTTTCTAAGCTACTAAAAGCAAAGTTATCACCATGTACGAGGGAGCACATTACCCCTGTGCTGGTGTTGCTAATGCAGGTTGATTTTGATTTGATTTTAAGATTCTGATTCTTGTTTTTGTTTTTTATGTTTACATAATTTAGCCCTTGTTTGTCTGCCCCTGTAACTGCTATCTCTGTGTGTTCCAGGGTCCAGACAGATCAGTGAGGTCAGAAAAACCAGCCTTTGTCGAACCCGATCCAGTCTAAACTCTGTATTATTTAGGGGAGGTTCTTTTAAATCTAGTCTAAACACACTTTTGTAACTATTTACATTGGTTTTCTTGCAGCATGAAAATGTGACTAATACAGATGTGTCATTCCCTCCTGCCTCTGAATTTCTTTCACACATCACAATCTTTCACAATCTGACCCAGACGCTGAACAGTTAAAAACATATTTAAATATTAGCATGTTTTAAATGTGTTACAGCCTTGTGCACTTTGTAGTAATGTGTTCTTGTAAAATAAATACCATTAAACATCAACAAGAATGATAGGTCTGGCCGCTCTACTTCATTTCTAATAAGACAGTTTACTGCTGTTTCTTTTTTGTTATTTAAGTTGAAAAGAGAATCTTTTTAATTGTTTCTCAAATTATTGATATGCTATTATTAATAATCGCTCCTTTTCTTCCTACTGTTTATTTTTTAATTTTTATTCTAATCTGGAAATTTAGTTGCCCCAAACTTTGGAGACTTTACTTTATGAATTGGATTAGGCAAAAATAAGTTATACTATTATTATTGTACATTCTTGTACATCTAAAGCATGTACATTAACTGACATAAGCTAAATTTTAAAAAGATTTAAAAAAAAAAAATGGTATGATCGAATAAACAAACGTATACTACTACCTTCTGGAGAGGTCAGAACACCAGTATGAGTCCAGGTCTCATCTCAAAACTCTGGTCTTTGCTGTTACTGCTCCTAAACTGTGGAATAGTCTAGAAAAATCCAGACTAATTCCATTTCGATGCCTTGGCTTTTTACTCCGACTAAGTTCTACAGTTTTACATTTTACACACAGTTCATGCTGGTTTTATCTTGACTTATTCTTTCCTCGTGAAGCTTTTTGGGCAGCTGGTGTTACTATAAATGTAAAAAAAACCTCTGGTCTTTGCTGTTGCTGCTCCACACAGGGGAATCTAGTCTAAAAACACATCTTTATGCCTCAGCTTTTAACTCTAAGTTCATCTGTTTTTCATTTTACACGTGTTTCAAACTGTCTAGAAAAAATCTTGTCTAATAAAATTCCACTCCACTTCCTCTACTGTTTTACATTTGAAATGTATTTAATGCTATAGTTTCATCTTGACTTTTTTGTATGTGTGTAAGTGAAGCATTTTGACTAGCCAGTGTTGACGTGCTACAGTATACAAATAAAGCATTGACAATGGCTCCTCTTATGCTTCATGACTGGGGTTTCCAACCTGTGGCTCGGGAGCTACCAGTAGCTCGCCAGCCCCTTTCAGGTAGCTCCCCAAAAGATTTAGAATTTAACACATGATCTTGGATGATGCACTTTAGAGTCATTGCACATATTGTAAGTATAAAAATAGGGTTGTTATGGTAAATTTTGCATGTGTTTTCCATGTTTTGTCATAATTATTACATACATTTTCATTATAACTGATAAAAGAAGTAGCCTCTTCTGTTGTATAAAAAAGTAGCTCACAGATTACAAAAGGCTAGAGACCAGAGCTTCCTGACATCCCACCGTCTGTGCGTGTCACTTTTTGCTCCCATCATCACATTTTTCAGTTTTCAGTCTGAGCAAAAACACCAAACAGATGTGATCAAATCCTCGGGGTACTCTCTGATATTGCTTTGATGAATCATGGTCCAGCCTATTGTCCCATTATCATGTTTTTCCCCTCAAATTCTCCTCTGCCCCTCTCCTTAAAAGTACATTTTTGTTATGTTTGTGTCCAAGTCGCTCTATTCCCCACGGACCCCCACCTCCTGTGATTGGCCCGGGAGTGGACACAGTGTGACGGGAAGTGTGTGACATCACAGCCCAGGAATTCTGCAGAACGATGCTGATTGGTGGAGCTGCTGCACTGGGACTGACCGGTGCAAGTAGCGGAAAGTAGAGAAGAGCGCTCTGAGTTATCGCACTGAGACAAGCCCTTAACATTTACCCACGTTTTTTAATACTCGCTGTTGTGGAAGAATTGGGGGAAAATGACTTATTTGTTTGTTGTGTTGGTTCTGGCTGGTTTCCATGACGCTTCAGCTACTGCGATTAACGGTAAGATATGTCTCACTGTTTTCTTCAATGTTTCTTCTTGTGCTAATGTGAGAAGCGAGAGGTCCTGGGTTCGATTCCACCTCTCTCTATGGGGAGTTTGCATGTTCTCCCTGTGTCTGCCTCGATTTCCTCTCGGTTTCCCCCAAAACATGTTCAATAAGAATTAGTGTTTGGCTTCTGTCATCACCGTGTGCGAAAGGACTGGTGCATCAAATTTGTAAAGTGCTTTGAGTGACCGTGGCGCTACAAAAATAAGTATTACTTACTAAATTTCTTACTTGCTACACTGCAAAAAGTGATAAAATATGACGGAAAAAATGCTTAAATCAAGTGTTTTTTAATCTTAATTTAAATACATTTTGACTGTCTTAAAACCTCTGTGCCTCTGTTTTATAAAATGTGCTATATAGATAAAGTGGATTGGATTTGACTTGCCAATGGAACACAGTCATTTAGTCTGATTTCATGAACTATTGCATTTTTTATTGTCATTTCAAGGGAGATTTTTCTGGTTTTCTTAAATCTGGTTTTAAGGCTGTCAAAAAGTGCTCAAATTAGGGTACATATTGACAAATTTTAGTATTTCTTCAACTTATTTCTCCTAACTTTTTGCAGTGTAGGCCGATAATGAGGCTGCACAGCTTTACTTTATCAGCTCGTTGCTAAGAACCCAATTGGCCGAGATCCACGCACATCTGTTTGTGGCCGAGGAGTGAACATATCTTTGCCTAGGAATGTGCCTCAGTATGATACAAAACACATCCAGTACATTTGCAGATGTTTTACTGCTCCTAAGTCCTGAGATTCCCCACATAAGGGTTGACTTAGCAAACATAAATCTCTAGTATGTGTTAATGTCACAGCGTGGGACGATACGACACATGGGACGTACAGTAAGCAGAAAGCAGAACCTCCACCGGAAGAAGTTGATAAATAAAGGACATATTAAAAACGACATGTACAGTATAGAATTTCATTAAAAGAGACAAACAGAGGGGGCTGACTCCAACTCTCATGTATCACAAGTCATGGTATTATTTCAAAAACTTATAAATACAAAAAGAAAAACATTTACATTTATTATTGCAATGAAATATGGAAAATGAATTGATAACTATTTTTTGTTTGTATGGAAAAGAGGATGACGACAACTACTACTACACATACTGCAAACTCACTCTTTCTCCACGTTACAACATTGTTCCCTTATCAAAAACAGGCCTGGAGTTATTTTTAGATCCATCCACACTAATATTAGGAATTTCTGAGACAAACATGTGTTTATGGCAAATGTGTTTTTGCTTTTATGGAAAGACAATAAAACAGTATTCTCAAAAACCAATTCAAAGAGTGTGACGATGCCGCCCACCAGTTGAAAAGCACGGTTTTAATGAATGGGTGAAAATGGGAAAATGTAATTTAAAAGATTTTTTTCTGTAATTCAAGTTAAAATGTGATACAGACCCCATACAAGCAAAGTGACACATTGCTTTGTTTGTTATAATTTTATGATTATGGCTTTTAGTCCAATTTCAAAATAATCTATTTTTCTGAGTGGTTTAATCTGGGTTTTTACAGCTTAGACATTTCTCGACATTATTGTAAATATAGGCTTTACATATTTCACGTTGTCTTTGAGTCTGTCATATATACATTTCACATTGTAAGTTGAATTGCAGAAGAAAACAGACTTTAGAACAAAATTACAATTTTCAGTTTAGCAAATCTCTCTTTCACTCCTTCCTAACTTTACACAGAAAATTGAATGCTCTTATTTGGACAGAAAAACCACCTTGTCTGTAGTTTGTGTAAAGGCTCTCAGTCTGTGAAAGGCGCTACACAACTAAACTTTACTCCGTTACTTCAGTCGCACAGGGGATAATTCAAAACAAAGGAAGATTGCGCGCCCATAACCTGTACTTCAAACCTTTTCCGTATCCCATTAACCTTATTCTTTCCTCCTGTATAGATTCTATCGGTCCAGGGCCGAGAACATTCGGTATAATCTACAACGACGCAGAACAACTAGACCTCGACGATATTCTCTCCGACTTCTATGATAAGAAGTTGAACGCCTCCTTGACCAAAGTGCAGCACATCTCCGAGGACACCCTGCTCTTCCTCTCCGGGCCCATGTCCACGGTCCTCATGCCCTCCTGGTACTCCCTGCTGTGTGCCATCAGTCTGCCTGTAAACCTATGCGCGGTCATCGCCTTTTCCAGAAGAATCCGTCCCAAGAAACCAGCCGTCATCTACATGCTAAACCTTGCATGTGCTGACTTACTTTTCACCCTTTTGCTCCCCTTTAAAATCGTTTACCATTTTTTAGGAAACAACTGGATTTTCGGGCCTGCCATGTGTCGTGTGGTGACCGCCGCCTTCTACTGGAACATGTATTGCTCCGTTCTGCTCATATGTTGCATCAGCGTGGACCGGCTCCTGGCTGTGGTCTATCCCATCTACTCTCTCTCTTGGAGGAGACCGCAAACTGCCATGATAGCGTGCGTGACCATGTGGCTTCTGTCGTTTGTCGGCTGTGCACCCCTCCTACTCTCGAACCAGACCATATACCTGCAGGCTTTAAACATCACGACCTGTCATGACGTCCAGCCCCTGCAGGAGCTCCAGTGGAATTACAAAATCTACTTCCTCACCATCTGCTGCGCTCTCTTCTTCCTGCCCCTGATCATTTCTCTTGTGTCTTACTCTTGGGTCATCTGGACGCTGAGCAGGGTTCCTCAGGGAATACGAGGGAGTTCGCGCAAAAAGAGACGAGCCGTGGTGATGGCTGCCACTGTGCTGGTGATCTTTGTCCTCTGCTTCATGCCAACCAACTGCACAATGATGATACACTATCTTCAATTTGACGACAGTGCGCCAAGCGGCCACCAGGGGGCAGACAGCTCATATGCTCTGTACCTGGTGTTTCTCTGTTTGGGCAGCCTCAACTGTTGCCTGGATCCTTTGGTCTACTACTTTGGCTCATCCCAGTGCCAGAAGCAACTGTACAGTGTGCTGAGGTGTGAGAGGGGGTCGGCCGTCTGCAGCTCCAGCCATTCGTCCAGTGACTCTTGCAAGTCGAGCCGTAAGTCCATCCTCAAAAGCAGCAGGACTGAGAGTTCCAAGATCAATCCTTCTTCTGAAAATGAATCCTTTAAAGCCCATCTCAGCAGCCAGTACAAGAAACTGTTGGTCTGACCTTCTGGATTATGTGCATGGTGCTGATGAACTATTAGTTTGCTTGAATTAGGTGTCTAGATTTGAATTTAATACAACTGTATTCAAAACAATGGAACAAGTTAAGCTTTATTTTGAGCAATGTTTTCCTCATTCAAAGTGATACATTGTGTGTCTGTGTTTTCATTTAGTAAAACAAGACATGTTATGTTCGTTCCATAGGTTAATAGTTTTAAGATCAGTTTTAACCTTTAAAATCAAGAATTTTTTTTGCTTCAAGCCCCCATTAACATTATGGTTTGCTTTGTTTTGATTTTGCTTTTGTGTATTGTGTCATCTAATACCAAAGCAAACCTTTTATAAACTATTACTAACCTTTAATAAGCACTTACCGCTTGGCAGACATATGTCACATTGTTTATACGATATGCAGAAAGCAAGACATAACCAAATATAAACAAGGAGTTTGTGTACAGTGGAAATAGGAATGTCCAAACTGGGCCAGCTGCACACCACTGAACTCTTCCTCTTCGTCGATAAGACTTTACATGTGGGATTCAGCCCAACATAAAGTTTATATGGCCAAGTCTTCTACACACTATATATCAAATCTTTCTAAATGGCTACTGAATTGATCATCTGGGGTCTTTCTGTTTAAATCAGAAAGGAAGAAAAGAAGACCTATGTGAACTTGTAAACATTTGAAATAAATATATCTGTATTCCTGATCCTTTAATAGATTTCTGTAAATGTATTTGTGTACACTATATCTAATGAAGGATGACATTGTAATTATTATTGTAAATATGTTTCATTTACGTATGTTTTAAATAAAGCAAACTGCTTCCCCCTGGTGGTGAAGATGCGCATAGGCTCAAAGGCTCTTTTATTCATCAATAATTTTAAAACAGGTTTATGGCAAAAGTTCCTATTCTATTCACACCGTTTTGTTGAGAATCCTGAAAACAGCAGTGGTCGCTCTTTAAAGCTGGGGTACCTGATTCTATCACTAGTTTTCACATGCATGTATTATTATCTCAGATAGAAACACATGAAAGGGAGAGGTCCACCGGCCAATCAGATTTCAGCCCAAAGAGTCAAACAAAATGTAGCATTGTTTGTTATTTTTAATCTTGACTTGCTGGGAAATATATATTCCCTGCAGTTACGTAGAGATAGATAGATAGATAGATAGATAGATAGATAGATAGATAGATAGATAGATAGATAGATAGATAGATAGATAGATAGATAGATAGATAGATAGATAGATAGATAGATAGATAGATAGATAGATAGATAGATAGATAGATAGATAGATAGATAGATACTTTATTGATCCTCATATAGGAGAAATCCAGGCGTCCACTAGCAAACATCCATCCACACAAACATAAACAACATGAACACAAAAGTCAGGCACCCCAGCTTTAAATCTGCCCACGTGCACCGCCCGCGCTCATATGACTCGGTGACGTCACGCAGGTAAAACACGTCTGAGCAGATCCACCACAAAGGTCACAGCCGCAGCCGCACCCGTGTGTCTCCCTCTTTACATTTAAGCTCCGCGATTACACTTCCAAACCACTTCAATGGCTTTCTCACGGTATCGATCGCTCTTCCTTCTGGTTTACTTCGTGCGCGTGTGTGCGGCAGACACAAAGACAGGCAAGTATTACGCACGCATTGTTTTTTTTGGGCAATTTTTTATTTGTAAATGTTTAGAATGCTCAAACAAACACGAGCAGGTAAAAGTGATTGGGAATATACACTGTGGGCAGATCCATTCAATTATTTTTTTTTTTATTGCCACAAATCACAACAGCAGTCTACTATATAAAGTCCTCCAACAACAGATCAGAGAATTTAACAGTTGGAACACAGGAAATGCAACAACAAACACCAAGCAGCCATTGGTTCATAGGGAGTGTTGAGTTGAGTGTTAATTCATTTCAATGTAATCAAACATTATTATCAAATGTCACTACACAGAATCTAACATTGTTCATATTTATTACTTGTCATAATATTATATGATTAAAACTTGCAATGGGTCAATGAATGGGATTACCTATGTTAATTGATAAATGTCCCATTAAAGTCCCCAAAAACCTCGGTCCGTGTACTTTTGCGTTCAATATATTTTCTATTTTTGAAGGGAAATGAAGAATCGAAAAAAGGCTATTTTGCATTTTCAGGCACACCGCAATATACAAAAATGACCATTTTGTTTTTTTTCATTGCTTACAAGACATAAATATATTATAATAACCGGATTTGGGAACTAGAAAATTGAATAAATAACCTTTTTTAATATGTAATTCATTCATTTCGGCGTCAATCGATTACCTGCAAGTGAAACAAGTGTGTTTACTTCAGCCCTATTCGCTCTAATTTAGTAAAATTTGATACGCAAATGACCTCCTGTATTTGTCCAAACACAGACGTCCTGTGATAATACTTTCCGTGAGAATCTACATGTCAGTGATTGTGATCGCGATTGCCGCTTTCGCTTTACTTTCTGCGTTGTTTTGTTGTTGTCATTGAGCAGAGGAGTCGCAGATTGCGGCTGTGTACACACCTGGAGAGTCTCGGCTGCTGCTGTCTCTGTGAGGTCTATGGAGAAGTGTAGAGGACAATGTTATGTGTTCACAGACACAAAATAATCAGACCGATGGGTTGCATTTGTACGTTTACTTTGCACTCTGTGGTAACTCGTAATACAGTACAGACATGTTGATGCAGCCGTTACTATTTGTCGGCTCGCACTTATCTGAAGCCTGGTTCACACGAGACGATTTTAAAATTGTCGGCCGATTTTTCTCCGTGTTAGACCCCACACGGGGAGATTAAAAATCCTGCGTCTAACCACTTTGGTTGTGCAGTGTGTGGTGCGTAGCCACACGGCAAGATCACGCAAGCCACAAACATCACACACGAACCGACAACCCCCCCCCCCCCCCGAGCATTCCCAGGTCAGACGGAAATCTCACAAAATCTCTCGAGATCAAGCGTGACTTCAGAGTAAACAGTCATGGCGGACGAAGAGGATGCAGTGGCGATAGTGTGCAGTTTGTTGTTAACAGAGAAGACACGTAATCCAAAGAAAAGGCAATGGTCAAAGCCATGCTGCTGTGTTTTGGTTTTTTTCCGGTGTTTCCTCACCGGTTTGTCACCTCGTCTTCTTATTGGCTACACGCCGTAGTCATGGCAACGCGCTCGCTTGTCCTCGGAGGACACCACACACAAGAAATCGGGCCAAAACAATCCAACATGTTGGATATCCCCGATTTGAGATCGGGAGCAGTCCCGATGTCCTTCCGAGCGACGAGTGCAGTCTTAACACACCACACACGGCAGGATAATCTGTAAGATTTTGTTATGGAAATCGGAGCGTTTCTTAAGATTGTCGTAAGGGGTAAATCGGGTCTAAATCGGCCTAAATATCCTGCCGTGTGAACCAGGCTTTTGGATATCCCCGATCTCAAATCGGGGATATCCAACATGTTGGATTGTTTTGGCCCGATTTCTTGTCGTGTGTGGTGTCCTCCGAGGACAAGCGAGCGCGTTGCCATGACTACGGCGTGTAGCCAATAAGAAGACGAGGTGACAAGCCGGTGAGGAAACACCGGAAAAAAACCAAAACACAGCAGCATGGCTTTGACCATTGCCTTTTCTTTGGATTACGTGTCTTCTCTGTTAACAACAAACTGCACACTATCGCCACTGCATCCTCTTCGTCCGCCATGACTGTTTACTCTGAAGTCACGCTTGATCTCGAGAGATTTTGTGAGATTTCCGTCTGACCTGGGAATGCTCGGGGGGGTGTCGGTTCGTGTGTGATGTTTGTGGCTTGCGTGATCTTGCCGTGTGGCTACGCACCACACACTGCACGACCAAAGTGGTTAGACGCAGGATTTTTAATCTCCCCGTGTGGGGTCTAACACGGAGAAAAATCGGCCGACAATTTTAAAATCGTCTCGTGTGAACCAGGCTTTAGCAGAGTATGTGGTTCACGAGTAGTCCATACAAACTATTATTAAACATGACAGACAGTATGAGCCAGAGAACTGTAGAGCAGTAAAATGTTTGTCCTCATGGTCTCTGTGGCTGCTGTGGTCCATAGACTGTATAACTGTGGTTAGACACGACTCTCCAGTCCAGCTGCGTGAAGCGGGGAGACCCGCGCACGTGCGGCCGTTATGTGAGATGTCAGTGAAAATAGTATTTTACAGATATTGCTTATCCCGTGTGAATGCACTGCAAAATCTCAGACGTTCTCCGTGATTATCACAAATTATCAGGGGTCCACAAGTAATACTAAACCCGTGCGAGTAACTTGTTTCACTTCCAGGTAATCGATTGACGCCGAAATGTATTAAATACATCATAAAAAAGGTTAATTATTGCATTTTCTATTTCCCAAATCTGGTTATTATAACATATTCATGTCTTATAAGCAATGAAAAAAAACAAAATAGTCATTTTTGTATATTGCTGTGACTGAAAATGCAAAATAGCATACATAGAAAATGTATTGAACGCAAAAGTACACGGACCAACCTCTATAGTTTAGTATGATATTTGCTTTTAATTTGAAATGTGAGCCAGGTACAGTACCTTGCGAAAGTATTGAACCTTTAAACATTTCGCCACATTTCCGGCTTCAAACATAAAGATATAAAAAATATTTTTTTTGTCAAGAATCAACAACAAGTGGGACACAATCGCAAAATGGAACGACATTTATTGGATAATTTAAACTTTTTTAACAAATAAACTGAAAAGTGGGGTGTGCAATATTATTCGGCCCCCTTGCGCTAATACTTTGTAGCGCTACCTTTTGCTGCAATTACAGCTGCAAGTCGCTTGGGGTATGTCTCTATCAGTTTTGCACATCGAGAGACTGGAATTCTTGCCCATTCTTCCTTGCAAAACAGCTCGAGCTCAGTGAGGTTGGATGGAGAGCGTTTGTGAACAGCAGTCTTCAGCTCTTTCCACAGATTCTCGATTGGATTCAGGTCTGAACTTTGACTTGGCCATTCTAACACCTGGATACGTCTATTTGTGAACCATTCCATTGTAGATTTGGCTTTATGTTTTGGATCATTGTCCTGTTGGAAGATAAATCTCCATCCCAGTCTCAGGTCTTTTGCAGACTCCAACAGGTTTTCTTCCAGAATGGTCCTGTATTTGGCTCCATCCATCTTCCCATCAATTTTAGCCATCTTCCCTGTCCCTGCTGAAGAAAAGCAGTCCCAAACCATGATGCTTCCACCACCATGTTTGACAGTGGGGATGCTGTGTTCAGGGTGATGAGCTGTGTTGCTTTTACGCCAAACATATCGTTTTGCATTGTGGCCAAAAAGTTCGATTTTGGTTTCATCTGACCAGAGCACCTTCTTCCACATGTTTGGTGTGTCTCCCAGGTGGCTTGTGGCAAACTTTAAAAGAGACTTTTTATGGATATCTTTTGAGAAATGGCTTTCTTCTTGCCTCTCTTCCATAAAGGCCAGATTTGTGCAGTGCACGACTGATTGTTGTCCTATGGACATCCAGAGTGATCATGGGCCTCTTGTCTGCATCTCTGATCAGTCTTCTCCTTGTTTGAGATGAAAGTTTGGAGGGACGGCCGGGTCTTGGTAGATTTGCAGTGGTCTGATACTCCTTCCATTTCAATATAATTGCTTGCACAGTGCTCCTTGAGATGTTTAAAGCTTGGGAAATCTTTTTGTATCCAAATCCGGCTTTAAACTTCTCCACAACAGTATCTCGGACCTGCCTGGTGTGTTTCTTTGTCTTCATGGTTCTCTCTGTGCTTTAAACAGAACCCTGAGACTATCAAAGAGCAGGTGCATTTATACGGAGACTTGATTATACACAGGTGCATTCTATTTATCATCATCAGTCATTTAGGACAACATTGGATCATTCAAAGATCCTCACTGAACTTCTGGAGTGAGTTTGCTGCACTGAAAGTAAAGGGGCCGAATAATATTGCATTCAGTTTTTTATTTGTTAAAAAAGTTTAACTTATCCAATAAATTTCGTTCCACTTCACGATTGTGTCCCACTTGTTGTTGATTCATGACAAAAATTTAAATTTTTATATCTTTATGTTTGAAGCCTGAAATGTGGCGAAATGTTGAAAGGTTCAAGGGGGCCGAATACTTTTGCAAGGCACTGTATGTACTTCTGCATTTTAAGTCTGTGACCTTTTTTCATTTACAGAGGACAGAGGATTTTCTGGCATTGAAACACAGAACGGAGTGGCTGTCGACTTGCAAGTCAAAAATATCTTGAGCAGTTCTCTTACCACAGTCTTCCTCCCGATCATCTACATAATTGTGTTTACCATGGGGCTGCCTGCAAACGCCATGGCTCTATGGGTTTTCCTGTTTAGAGTCAAGAAGAAGCATCCGTCGTCCATCTACATGGCGAATCTGGCCCTGGCCGATCTGCTCTTCGTCATCTGGGTGCCGTTGAAGATTGCGTACCACTTCAACAACAACGACTGGATCTACGGAGAGGGCTTGTGTAAAGTTCTGGTTGCGTTTTTCTACGGCAACATGTACTGCTCCATCTTGTTTATCACCTGCATTAGTGTGCAGCGTTACTGGGCCGTGGTTCACCCATTAACCCAGCTTCAAAAGGACAACTGTGTAGCCATCGCATTGTCTGTCACCATCTGGATAGTAGTCTGGGTAATTACAGTGCCCTTGTATCTATACGAGCAGGAGGTCAGAGTCACGAATGTCAACATCGTAACATGCCATGACGTGACCAGGCCGAGCCAAAACAAAATGGCGGCCGGTTACTTCCTCACAATGGGAACTCTGGGATTTTTTGTCCCTTCGTTGGTGTGCGTCGTGTCCTACGTTTTGATGTTGAAGGCTCTTCAAAAGAATATCTCGGACCCTACGATTGGCAAGAAGCGAAAGAAAGCGATCGTCCTCATCATTACGGTGCTGGTTATGTTTATTGTCTGCTTCACTCCCAGTAATATAATGTTAATAGTCCACTACAGTTTGCTGCTGAGTGGAGCCAAAGACAACTTGTATGGATTCTACATCACCACTCTCTGCTTGGCGAGTCTCAACAGCTGCATCGATCCCTTTGTTTACTATTTCATCTCCGAGGACTTCAGAAATCACATCAAGAACACTTTCTTGTGTCGCAGCGAGCGTACTGTGGAGCAAATGAGGGTCTCGTTCAGTGCCTTGAAATACTCCAAGAAGAGCAACACCTACACCTCCAGCTCAGGCAACACACGCAGTACTGAGTGCTAGACGTGGAAATGTTGTTTTTGTAATGTTTTTATCAAGTACATTGTGTGTTTTTGTACTCTTTGGTTTATTCCCATGATGTGTGTTTAATCATTCTTAACTGTGTGTGTTTTATGCTTTATTTTTTTTATTGTTAATAAAGTTTTCAGAGTGAATGTCAATTTAAAGGACCAAAATATCTGCAGATTGGTTTGGTTATAGGGCTGTAATAAGTTTATATATTTATAGCACCTCATTCATTATTAAAATGGTTAAAGTGACATTCATTTTCAATAATAATAATAATGGATCGGATTTATATAGCGTGTTTTTGGACACTCAAAGACACTTTACTTTACATGTCATTATTCATTCACTCCATACACGGTGGTGATAAACCACTATTGTAGCCACAGCTGCCTGGGGCACACTGACAGAAGCGAGGCAACCAGTATGTGCCATCAGCTCCTCCGACCTCATTCTAGGCAAAGGGGGTGAAGTGTCTACCAACTGAGCTGTCGCCCTAATTTTTCTAGTAATGAAAGGCTGTTGTTAGATTCAATAATTAAATCAATCAATATTTAGCTTGATTTTAACATTTTAACAGAATAAAATGTTAAATATATATTTTTGACAAATGCATCGTTCATAGTTCCAAGAATTAAGGACTCATTTATTGTTAATCACAGTATGAGTCACGTTCAGTGCGGCGCCACAGAAACAGCTCTGTGTGAAACAAGCACCGCAATTAGTTTGATGCACTACAGTTTCAAATAAAACAATTCTATTTGATTAACGGATTTAGCCATAGAAGACAACTTATGTAATGTTGCCTTCTAGATTACAGTTATATAATGTAATATGTTATGGCAAACATGTAAACCATGAAAAGACCGTTTTTATGACTCAGACAGAGTTGTGACTGCAGAATGGAATGTGTGGTTATTTTGAAGATGTTCTCAAGTGGCATCACTTTAGCCGTTTTAATATTTATTATATTTGTAAAGCTAGTATCACCAGCCTTTTGGGATTTGGACAGATATATCAACCAAAGGAATAATCACCAAAATAATCATCAACTAATCAGCAGTGGTTATTGAATTATTTATCACAACTTATGAACCAATACCAATGTTTTCTGTTTTATTTCTTGTGTTTGAACAGTTTGATTCTCTGGTCTGTGTTGGCAAATTCTATGGTTGTGTAAAATCCTTTATACAGCTATACAAGACTACATGTAGTTGAATATTTACAGTCTTAGTTGGTTGAAATTGAAAATATATATATATACATATACACACATGAAAATATATATATATATATATATAATGTCTATGTCTGAGATATATACTCTTTTCTAGACCACTATGTGAAAGGTTAAGAGCCAATAAGACGTAATAATTTCCATACGTGTTTGCACATCCTGCTCCACTCTCTGGTCCTACCTGCAGTGGGCGGGGCGAAGGCGTCATGACGTCAGAGTCGCAGGTAGTCTCGGGGAGGCGCCGTGTGTTTCGGAGTTTTTCGAGGGTTTAAGAAGCTGCTGGAGCGGGACAGAAGATAGTTCAGATTTTTACCGCGCAAATGGATGTCATCAGCCCCCTTTCGCTGCTCCTGCTGTTTCAGTTCGTCTGCGCGTCGTATGCAAGTAAGTACGGAAGCCTGCATTTGACATGTTCAGACCATAGGCTGTTCAGACAAAGGGCGAGGTCGGGGAACAATCACGTAATGCTAATGTATTCCATTCGCATTGTTCAACTTTGTTAAGGCTACAACAAATATCTTATATTAGAATAATTGCTATAATAATAATAATAATAAACATTATTATTGCTAAGATTTGTTCAGAGATTTTAAAGGTCATCTGGTCAAGTTGTGTTTATTTAAAGTGTTAAGACTTCAATGGACAGAATTGGATATTTCTGATGTGTATTGTGATCTCATTATCTATTTTCAGTTGAGGGACGAGGCTTTCTTGGACATTTGGACCCAGAAGACTCACAGCAAGTGGTTTTGGACCAGGCAGCTATAGCCACCCTCAAGAGTGACCTCACTACCGTCTTCATCCCGATTCTGTACATCATAGTGTTTGTTGTGGGACTCCCTGCAAACGGCATGGCTATCTATGTGTTCATGTTTCGGATTAAAAAGAAGCATCCATCATCAATCTACATGGCCAATTTGGCTTTGGCTGACCTCCTGTTTGTTATCTGGATTCCTTTAAAGATAGCATACCACTTTAATGGAAATAACTGGATCTACGGAGAACCTCTTTGTAAAGTATTAGTGGGATTTTTCTATGGGAACATGTACTGTTCAATTCTGTTTATCGCCTGCCTCAGCGTGCAGAGGTACTGGGTTGTGGCTCACCCACTATCACATCAAAGGAAGAACAACAAGGTGGCTATAGCGGTCTGTGTGGCCGTTTGGGCTTTCATTTGGCTCACAACAACTCCTCTGTACCTGTATGAGCAGACGGCTAAGCTCAAAGACCCCAACATCACTACATGCCATGACGTGAACATCATCAAGGACCCTCTGAATCCATTTCCTTCAGTCCAGCTGCCATTCTATTACTTCATCTTTATGGGATTGGTAGTTTTCCTGGTCCCATGTGTAGTTATAATTATTGCTTACATTATGTTGCTCAGAGCATTAGGAAACTGTATGGATGACAATGCAGCTGCCAAGAACCGTCACAAAGCTGTAGTATTGATAGTGGTTGTATTGGTCACTTTTGTGGTGTGCTTTATCCCAAGTAACATCATGCTGGTTGTGCACTACTCCCTGTTAAAAGATGGACTGCCCAACAATGGCTACAGCTTCTACATCTCCACGTTATGTCTTGCCAGTCTCAACAGCTGCCTGGATCCCTTCATCTACTACTTTGTGTCTGAGGACTTCAGAAACCATGTAAAGAACACATTTTTGTGTCGCAGTAGCAGAACTGTGGAGCGGATGAGAGTGTCGTTTAGTTCAATGAAATACTCTAGAAAGTCCAAGTCATATGTGTCGAGCTCTGGGACCACACAGACCAGCTCCTGTTAGAACTACGTGCAGCGGCCTGGTCAAAAGGACATGTTAAAACAATGATCATTATCTAGCCATGGACACAGGCCACGAATGAATAACCTCAATTTTATAGATTGTCAAAGAACTTTGTTGGACTGGACAAAGATGTAGTTGAAATGTGAATGCTAAAACTCATGTAGCCTGTTACTACACAACCATAGGACTGATTATCTTATCATTTTAAGGTGGTGTGTATTTTTAAAGTATGTATATGTGTGTACAGTATATCATCTTTCTAAATGGTCAATTATTTTGTGACTAAATTAAGTTTTTGGTTTCTGAGAAACTTTTATGATATATACAACAGTGTATGTGTCACCTTGAGTCAAAACTATATTGTTGAAACATTTTTTTTGGCCATTTCCTTTTATCTTTTTTGGATTGTAGTCTATTTTTTTTTTTTTTTAATTAAAATGCAACTTACGGACTTTGTTGTGTTTTTTACCATAGTGTATGCTCTTTGTAAAGCAGTGACAAATGTCTGTTGAGAAAGAGAATTCCACAGTTCCTGTTGGAGCCTGTTGTAATGATGACTTCAGAGATATGCCCCAGTTTCAGTGCGCCTGGCATCTTTCACACACACCCACATATAGAACACATATCAACATAGTTTCTCTTGTTCGAATCTTCCCAGAGCAGAGCAGCGACCTCGTCTCCTGTGTTGCAACTAGTTTGCGCTCTCGAGGTTAATGATTGTTGTGGAGTATCATCTTACCTTTTGTGAAGTCGCATGCCTTTCTTTCACACGCAGGAACTGGGCCACTCCCTGGCCATGTTACTCTTTCACTGGTCAGACATCTGTCTATGTATTAGAGTCGTACGGACACTTGAAACAACATATCTCAATTTACAATGTTTAACACCGTGTACAATGTAATGTCTCTATATCTGCATTAAGATAAGATAAGATAAGATAAACCTTTATTAGTCTCACAGTGGAGACATTTCAGTGTCATCGTTGCAGCAGAGAAAGGAAATAAGAGCACTCAGATTGCACACATCAAAGTCTATTATTCAAGATAATAGACAATAAATTTAAGATAAAATAAAAAATAAGAAAATCTGGGCTACAATTGCACTTGGTTCGGAGTATTTACAGATGTCTATATTATACATTAGCAGCGGAGAATATGAGCAGAATAAACATCAGAAATAATATCAACAGGTAAAGTGACTTGAATGGGAGAACTATCAGATGGATATGAATAATACAGTAAGATATCAACAGGTAAAGTGACGGTGGAAGGCAGAATTATCAGATATGAAATAATACAGTAGTACTGATAACAGTAAATATCAGATATGTAGTACTGTTGTAGAGACATTCCTTTGTGATCACAAACTAATTTGATTACATATTTTAGTCAAACAATGGTTTTACTTGTGTGGGGACATATCAAGGACATTGTGAAAGTAAGATTATCTCTAAGGTTGTATGTAAGTATTTGCACTCCCACTATGTAAATCAGAACACCAGGACCTTGACAAACTTGCTCAGTCAGTTTTCCTGGGACAGAGCAACAACTGAAACATGACCTCATTGTTGTCCTACCACATATTATTGGAATGAATAAAAAAGTCCAGTCCACAAAATACAGACACACACAAAGAACAAGGAAAACAACTTAAGTATACCTTGAGTTTATAGCTGTATAAAAACTTAATAATCTCAAAATGTCTGATAAAATACTACATGACTTAAATTTATGCAAAGCAAATGCATCGATGACATCATCAAGGGCAAAAAAACACTATCGATCACAATTGAAATACAGCCATAATTAGTATTCTGTAAATGTGTTTGGACCATGTTTGGACAGATGGAGTTACAGCCAGGACCTGAGGAGGGCGCTCTCACCACGGTTCCACTGCTACTCCATGGTCAAAACTAAATTCTTAACTTTTGGTTGTTTGATGAAACAATAGATTGTATATATATTTTGAAACGCACAAAAGAAGATGATACATTTAGTTTTGCAAAGAGATTGCAAAGATTTATATGAATCCCTGTTATTCTAAAACTGTCTGACTGTGGAATATTTACACTGTAGTATTAGGTACACCTGTGCAATGATGTTCTCCCAGTGTGATGGGATTCTAACACTTGTTAGGCACAGTGGGTTATACCTGGGTAATAGTATCAACCCAGGCAGGAGCTAATCGAGTGACAGCTAAAATAGTGTCTGCAGTTGTAGTAGTTTAGTTCTATAGGACTTGTGCACATAATAAATATGATGGTCTAATTTTAAGGGGGGCCTTTTGCTCACACGCAAACCCTTGATAAATATATCCATAGATCTATTGTTGAATAAAAACATTAGCAGCACTAAAAGAACACATCTTATTTGTGGGAGCGACTGAGGTAGAGGTGGACAGCAAAAGTTGTACGCCATGTTGGCCGAATATTACACTTTGGAAAATCTATTTATCAAGGGTTTGTGTGAAAAAGTGAGAAGCACCCTTCACACCCGAGAACATGTATTTATGATGTGTACATGTAGAACTAATGCTGATTACATTGTCAAATATGATTAACACACATAGACGCAGATATGACCTGAGCATGCAATGACAAAAACAAGAAACTGCCAATCTCTAAAAACTGAGATACATAAACATGTGTTGTTCAATCGTCCAGAACAAAGTCAAGATGATATTAGAAAACATTGCTGTATAATGACTGAAGACATCATGGCATAATAAATGTTCAATTTTTTTAAATTGACATTGTTCAAATGCTGACAGACACAAAAGCGCCACATGAAAACACAGACAGAGTTATTCAGAGCTCTTGGGTCTTGGCTCCTCTTATGTCCGGCTCCTCTGCACCGTGGCCTGAGGCGCAGCCTGAGTGCCTGCCAGCCAGTCCCAGTGGGAGAAGAAGGGGGCAAAGTTTGTGCCAGGCTTCTGGTGGTGGCTGTCGTGTTTAGGTGCCCCACCCCAAAGGCCAAAAGGCACCATTCGGTGCATGGACCATGGGAAGTCATAACCACAATGGTCCTCTATGGAGACATACACATTGAATACCATGAAGCCCCATGTGGTGAGGCAGTGGCACTGGAGCAATATGGGGTCGATGGTGGCCCAGAATCCCACGCTGGCGAGCTCCCATCCAGACAGATACTGTGTGACCAGGCTGAAGGGCTGATTGTACTGGTGGTGCACCGCATGGAACGATCGGTACAGCCAAGGCACTCTGTGATGCATCAGGTGCCATATGTAATACTGGAAGTCAAAAACCACAGTGCAACCAAAAATGCCAAGTAGAAAGCTACAAAGAGTAGGTGCTTCTTTCGGCAGTGGTGTGGGTGACCTCCAGAGCCACTGTGCCACAGCTGTAGGGCAGATGTAGAGTAGATGGTTGGAGATGGTGAGCACCAGTGTCGTCCATATGTTGGGCCAAGTGATGGCTTTGTCCGGGTGCAGTCTGTGGCGGTTGATGCAGGGCCAGGTGGGAGCCAACAGGTCCAGAGTGGTGTAGAGACCAATCAGAAAGAAGTATGTGCAAACAGCCAGGAGCACGGGGAAAAGTGGGCTGCTCAGGACCTCATGGTGTTTATGGAGCAGATAGTCCCAGGCCGGCTGCAAAAGTGACCCCTCGGACAGGGCTCCAGTCACGTTCACCACAGCCAACATCCAGAATGAAGCTTCCGTCCTGAGCTGTGGTTCTGCACACATCACTAGCACAAGGTTTGCAGTCAAAAAGAGGCAGACCCAAAAGAATTTTAGCCAAGGCAGAGACGTGGATAGACAAGGAAACTGTCTGGGAACTCTCTGCCAAATTGGTTCTTATGTATTTTGAAGCCCCACCTCCATGAGCACGTTCTGCATTTTAAAAGCAGGGTCTCAGTAGGGCCCTTTTTCATGGCACAAGGAGGATGCCAGCCAGGACTCGGATCTGTGCCACAACAGCTCTCATTCTGTTCCGCTGGGGATCGTACAAGACAGAAGAGGAAGTGTCTTGGTGTTTTAAACATGTCAACATAAAGAAATGTGAAGAAAAAGTTGACAATAGAAAACATGGATCAAATAAGGCTATGCTTGTATTTTCATTGTAGAATGTTTAATAATAAATGTTCTCATCCAATCAAAATCAATATTACTATCTCCTCTTGCATGGTGCAGAAGGGTCTAAGCAGGGTCTGAAGGTGGTTTAAGATCCGATTCAGATTCTTTCTATTTGCCATTTACAGTAAAACCCCATTAGAAAACATTTGTAAAAGTACTTAAATAAAACAAGGCCACAAGGCCACATATAGAGACATTTTTAATCATTTGTGGACATTGGCTACCCCATATATACAAAGGATTAATATTATTACAATACAATGCAATTTATTCTTGTATAGCCCTAAATCACAACAGAAGTCATCTCAGAGGACTTAACAAAAGCATTGAAATCACCAACACAGATCAGAGAATCAACAGTTAAAACACATAAAGAATATAGAACACATGTTGTAACTGGCGCTAAGGTTACCATGACAACTCAAGTTATAGCTGAGTATAACTGACGCTTTGGTTGCCATGACAACTCAGATCATTTTTTGCTGCCGTTTAAGTTTGCTTCTCAAAGAATAAGTTGAGAAGTATTTTAAAGTATGCTGCTATAAAGAGACGTTTTTGCAGCTTGGAAAGAGTGTTATTCTACGATTGGTCTACTAAGGCGCACACGGTAACCTTTTTATTTCATTGTGTCTTTTATTTTGAGACCTGATTCTTATTGTGTGAGTTACTGTATGGAAATTTACTCTTCTCCTTTATCTTTGTAGTTTTCACGGTGTTCCAAATGCCTGTATGAAATTAAATGCTGCTGGACATCAGTCGAGGCGTTAAGTCCTTTATTTTCGGAGATCAACGTAGTTACACATGTTGATAAATGTCCATACATGTTGTAGAACGTTAAAGTGTCCTGGATCATCAGCACAGTCCTTCTAGTTAGACACTAACTGCCCAAAAGACCCTCCTGCATTATTGTGTTTGTTCTAATGGTTTGATTCTCTATTCTGCTCTTGGCAAAATTACAATTTCTGCAGCATCCTGCAAAGCGTTTGGCAGTACAGAAATACATTCAATTGAATTGCTTGGCTCGACAAACGCCCATAAATCACAAATCTGACAAGGGCTCAAAAGCATTTCCTGTGAGACGCTGAACCGTAAGTAACAGCTGTTTTATTTTTTGTTAAAAGTCACTTCAGTTTAACACACACTCACATGTTCCATCAACAAACTCATTGCTTGTTGGAAGTTTGTGTGTTCAGCCACTAGAGGGCACTGAAACCACAACAACAGTCTATTATCACACGTGCTTTTCAATTCCCTATGAGTATTATATGAAAGGCCGTCAGCTTTTATGTTTAAAAGGGCAGCTGTAGACTTTAAAACCTTATTATTGTAATAACAGAGAGTTATGAAATAGATGAGACCATAATGAAGGACAGATGGTGAAGAAGGAAGAGTGCAACTTGTGCACATACAATTATTAAAGAAAACTACAGTGGCAAGGCTAATATGAGCAAGTTGCATCAGATTTAGTCACATCAGTAAAACACATTGAAAACACTGGGGCTATGTCTGGGTTTTTGTGAAGCAGATTAATATTGAAAACCTGCGGTGACAGGACTGAGGTGCTGCTCTGAGAGTGACCCTGGGGTTTGTGTGAAGCAGAAAGGAAGCAACAGCATCTATGAGAAAACCTGTACAAAAACTGTGATTTTTTTGTTTTAATTTTAATTAGTATGAACCAATTTTATCTTGAGTCTGAAATAAAGATTAATAATAATATGAACATGGATATACTGTATGTAAAATAGAAATAAAGCCGTATTGTGTAAATGTTTGGTTACATATAATAGTTATGTTCCATTTAGGTCGCTGTATCGGGCTGTTGAGCTGAAGAGGGAGATGAGTCAAAAGGCAAAGCTCTCGATTCACCGCTCAAGGTCCTCCCTCACCCCCATGAGCTTTGGGAAAAATGACCGAAAGAACTAAATTGCAGATACAAGCGGTCAAAATGAGTTTTACCTGCAGAGTGGCTGGGTGCTCTTGTAGAGATAGGGACAGAAGCTTAGTCACACAGGAGAAGCTTGGGGTAGAGCCGCTACTTCTTCATGTCGAACAGAGCCATATGAGGTGGCCCAGGCATCTGTTCCGGGTGGTGGTGCTCCAGGTAAGTCCCACTGGGAGGAGACCCCAGGGAAGACCCACACGTTGGAGGGACTATTATCTGTGTCTGAGTTGGCCTGGCAATGCATCAGGTTTCCGTCTGATGATCTGGAGGAAGCGTGTGTGGAGAGGGAAGTCTGGGCGTCTCTGCTTGGACATCCGGCAACATATAAAGCACAACAAAATGGACAGATGTATGTGTAGTCCATTTGTTTTATTCTTTACTAACTACAAACACTCTTAAATCCAGGTTTAACTGTATGTTCTGGGCAGGGTAGGGCCGGTTGTCAGGCTCATGGGACGCTGCAGTAGGTGGACAGAATGAGTGAGTAATGTAAAGTCATGTTTTATAAAAGATACCACCAACTTACTTGCCAATCCATACCTTATAAAAAGCGTTATCAACTGATTGGGCAAAGTACAAAAACCTTAGTCAGGAAACTTAACTATGTGAGAGTGAACAAAGTGATTCATTTTCAAGGAAGACTTTTAAAACTACAGTAACTTCACTAGTTTTTTGACATTAGTGAACTCTCTACCTAATAACCTTTCAAATCCTTTCTGGAAAAATGCATCACTCTCTATGAAGACAAAAAAATAAAAATAAAATTCAGAACAAATTTATGATAAAATGTCTTCCTAAGTCGACCAGACAAACTATATTGATCCACAAGGGAAAATATTACACTTTCTCAAAGGGAAAACTAAATGGGATCAATAACATCAGAAAGGCACACATTGAAATCCCAAACATCCATACGGAAAAAGTCAAATTAATTGGGAAAACAATCTCGTTTTTCCATTATTGCACAACGTCTTGTTTAGGAAAGTGTTTCATCACTAAAAAAGATGGAAACTCATTTTCTCAGCAGCTTTGTCAGTGACACGGACAAGAGGATGTAGAGGGGAACTTAATGAGTCGCCTCCCTCAGGTGAGGCCTTCAGGGGCCATGGATGAATACAGTGTTATTCTCCACTATCACTTATGTCACACGCCGCTCGCTGAGTGTGAGAATGAGGGGAAGGATAGAACCTCCTGCTACCTCTGCTAAAAATAGATTTGCAGAGATCTTAATAAAATAATGTGACACAGCTACATTTAAACCAACATCAATATTGACCTGTTTCAGTAAAATGAGAAGATACAGACATTTTTCATTCACAGCAAAAGTCAGTCCATAAAATGGGACGGAAAATCTTGGAATCGGCCAATCTCTTGAATAATCTCGACATAAACCAGACCTTTTCTTGTCAAATCAAAAAGTTCAAATTTGCTTTTACATAGAAACAGCTGTGTGTATCTACTTCCTTTTTTATTCATTTGTAATTATTTATCTATTTATTAAAGACAACAAAACAGACAGACGCATCAACGTTCAACAAGACAATAAAAAACGAACAAAAACAAATGTACACAATTAGACAAAGGTGAAAAGTGCAAACAAACTGAGATTGTTAAAGGTACTCTGTGTAATTTCTTCAATAACAAATGTGACCTTTTCAAGAATATTTACCTCCACCATGTTTTTGAATTGTTGTCATAGGCTTAGAATTTGACTTAAAAATGTCCATGTGAGCTGGAGGACTCTCTGTGTCAATGCGTCATCTTGAAATACGGTGGTTGATAAGGGACAAAAAAAGAGTTTGACCGGGAGTTGGGGGCCGTAGTATCCTTGATTACAGTACACGGTGGGCAGTACACGGTGGGCAGTACATCCTGGGTTCGAATCCTGGTCGGAACAGGGCCTTTCTGAGTAGAGTTTGCATGGTCTCTCCGTGTCTGCGTAGGTTTCCTCCAGGTGCTCCGGTTTCCCCTACCACTAAAAACATGCACAATAGGTATGAAAGTGAATGAGAGAGTGAATGGATGGAGTTGGTCGGGGGCTGATGGTCCAGTGTGTTCGGCGACTTGCTTCTGTCATCACCGTGTGTGGAATGATTGGAACAATATCTGAACTCTGAACATTGTACAGCACTCACTACATCATCTCAACGCTAGATGGGAGTACAAACTACACAGTGTACCTTTAAAATGTTAAATTGAGCCTCCATGGGTGTGGGTACGAGTAGGTGAGGGTGCTGTGGTGTACGGAGTGGGCAATTGTTGAATTTTCTAGTCAGAGCTACCTCTAAGTGAAACCTGTCCTTCACCATTGCTGCCCCTTATTTATTTATCTATTTGATATGGACACAACAGACCAGATGCACTGCCTTTAGTGTTGTAGCAAGACCATGCAAATGTTCAACACTTGGCTTCGTTTGTGTGTTTGAGTTTTTATACAATTTATTCATTTTTGTTCATTTTTGTGTGTCTCTACTTCTGTTGAGCTACTTTCAAAAGCCACGTCCATAATACTCGTCTTTGACATGACGTGGGCCAAAACCAATCCACCTGGGTCCTCCTTATTACACTGGTGCATGTGTTGTTTTTCACTTGAGTTCAATACGGGAGAGGAAGACAGTTGCCATTGGTGCCTCATCGGGGGAATTAATTATCTGCCAAAAAGAACCCGGTTGGCCCACTTCCCAATAAACAAGCCACAGTTAACGTCCTCTGCTCCATTCGATTTCAGGACTCTATCCAGAACTGCTCTCTCCTCCACGCTCGGTCTGTTTCCTCTTTGTGAATATTCTCTGATCTAACAGGAACTTAAGTCATAAATCGCCCAAAGATGCCGAGCCAGCTTGAGGGAGCCATGGACGCCTTGATTACAGTTTTCTACAACTATTCTGGAAACGACGGTGACAAATACAAACTCAACAAGGGCGAACTGAAGCAACTACTCAACAGCGAGCTCACCGACTTCCTGATGGTAAAGAGCAGATTTTATTGACGTCGATCCACAATTTTCGGAGAATGATTGATGAGTGCACGCTGTTAGAAATGATGAAGCAATTACGAAGACTTGCTGAAAGGTTACTCAAAGCTTGCTCAAGGAAAAACAGGCAAAAGTGACCAAACCCTAAAGTCAGAACTTCAACTTTTACATTGTTAAAGTCATTTGAAATAGACTCGAGAAATGGATTAGCATTATTATGTAATGTAAATTGATGAAACCATATACTAATATAGATTATACCGTGTCCACTTTATAGAGGTAAAACACCACTGTTGCAGGTCATTCTAAAAGTTCTAATCCCACAATGTTGGTACTTTAATTTTTTTATAGAGTGTGAAATGTATTATGGGTATTTCGACTCAAACACACATTGAGTTTTTTGTGTAAAACATATGTCAGGGGCACAAGTTTTAACGACAATATTTGAGCTGGCTTTTTTACACTTTTAATTGTATGTTTATAGTGTTTTATAGTTGCTGTGCTATTAACATGACTTTTATATTTTTTACCCATCTGTTACCCTGACATATGCACGAGATTTTTTAACATCTTTCAGTATTTTAAAGTATACGCAAGTAAAGAAAAAAATATTGAGAATGAAGAAAATGAAAAAAAAAACACAATAAACAAATAGATTGTAATAGCAATAGGGTAAATAGGGTTTTTGCATATAATCTTTCTGTGGGGATGTCCTTTTTGCACATTTTACTGATAATGCAGGGATAGAGTTGGGGGCGGGTGAGGCCAAGTGCAACCCGGCTCTTGACGTTGTGTGATGGCACTGGACATGGGCCTGCAGTTTTATTTGATTGACCCTTTGAAAACGGCCCATGGCTTATGAGCTGTCATGCTTTCGAGATACATTTTTCCTTTGATTTCTAGTCCTTTTTCACAGAGCCTCAGGTGCTCACACATCATCATCATTGGCTCACATCGCGGCCAAATATAGATTAGCCTCTGTGATGTCAGCGAGTCCCCGTGGGAAGCCAGACCTGCAGTGAGGCGGATGGAAAGAGCACCCAGGAAATCAATTATGACAAATGTGTTTCGACCACGGGATTTTGCCACAGAAATAATTAAGTACAGAAGTATAGGTTCAAGAATAGATTTTTTAAAGACGTACTGAGAATCTTTTTTTTTTAGTACTGAGCCTCTAATTGATGCTGAGCCCAAAGTGTTAAATTAAGACTCACATGGTGCGTCCTTATATGTAACATTCAAATGTTTCCGACTTTGATGAAGACGAGGAGTTGCGGTCTATTGTTGATTTCAAAGTTATGGAGAAATAGAGAAAGGTCATATTGGGATAGGTTCAGATTTCAAGGTTGAACTTCACTATCTCCGAAGGGAAATGTATCTTAGCTTCACTGGTCTCATATAAACAGAGCCTCGCAGCTCTTCACTACGCTTCAGCTCACACAGCAACCCGCCTCCTCCACCTCATCACCTCAACATTGGGAAAATCCCTCTGCAGGTCGTTCATCACCACTTCAAGGGTCAAAACCTCAGGGGGATTTCATTTTTATAATAATTATAGATATTGAATTCCCTGCATACTGTAAATTATAGAATATTTCTGTCTGGGTCTATGAGCAGAATCCAGATCCAACATTTCAAGTACCACACATCAAGTAGTATGTCTGTTGAAGCCCCAATAAAAGTTTTGCTCCAACTCGCTCTGGCTCCTAATGACTAACATTGCAAAGTAAATCCAGATATGAGCCAAATATGGAATGACCAATCAGATACCTTCATTCACAGGAAAAACTCCAGCTTGCTTTAGCAACCGTCTTAGCAACCCATGTTACGGCGCGAAGCTAACACCACAGAAGAAATGTGCCTATAAAGACATTGGTTCCAGTTAGCTTTGTTCAAATCAGCTTCTTCCGCATTAACGCTATGGGTGACGTCACAACTCGGTCAGTCCACTCCTAATACACGGCCAATGACAACTATTCATCTAGTCTGCGGTATCCAAAATACTGTATTAAATCCAGATTGAAATGTGTTTACGATACACAATCTGGAGTTTTTAACGGGGAACTCACTGAAATTGAATGCAACACTACCACAGACGGAGAATCGCCTTCACGAACAACTAAAACGTACAAGGACTGGAGTGAAATTAGCCTGATTATAGAAGAGTAAGGCCCAGCACTTCAAACTCTATTTCCATGTTATATGAGTTAAGCGTGACTTAGATATCCCACTGTTTTGTTCTGAGAAGTCCAATTGTGTGAGTAATCCATTGAAACTCTGGCTGCTCATTTCCTGAAGTGGAGACATGAAGCAAAAACTGATTCTTTCTATTGTGGCGTTTCAGTCTCAAAAGGACCCAATGCTGGTGGAAAAGATCATGAACGACCTGGACTCGAACCAGGACAATGAGGTGGACTTCAACGAGTTCGTGGTGCTGGTCGCCGCTCTCACTGTCGCCTGCAACGACTTCTTTCAAGAGCAACAGAAGAAACGCAAATAAATATTCTCAAAAATCTGCAACGGCTTTTTCCCCAGGCCCCCATTATCATTTGGGAACGTTCTCGTCGAATACATGTTTTCTACTAATAAGTAAAGATAGATAATTATGTTTGTACCGTCATGCTTTTCCCTAGAGAACACCTTATTGTCACATTGGTTCACACTGTGTCTGACCGTTCTTTCATTTTTAAATAAACTTCATTTCATTTCATATCATGCATGTATTTGTATTTATTTATGTTGTTAATCCATGGATATATTTGTCATCTTGTTTGTGACCACCAGGGAGCATCGGTAAGAATCATGGATCTGGGTAAGGATGCACTGCGTATAGATGATCCAGTTTTTTGGTTTATTAAAAGTTCTTAATTGCACACTGATTTACAACAGGTATCTATATCTTTGTGGCTCTGTACTTATGTGTGTGTGTGTGTGTGTGTGGTCCTGCAATAACAGAAAGAAAGTCTTATTAAAACACTTTGCACACAAATTCAGTGAAAGAGGAAACAAGACAATACAGTATGTGTGCTTACATTTAGAACTACTCTAAAATCAATGTCTATCCCAGCGCAAGGAGCTTCTGTTTGGAACATATATGAAGGTGAAAGCGCAAATTCAGACCGAAAGACCGGCCACGGCTCTCACTCGTCCAGGGCCTGCCAATCACACAGCTCTGCCAGCCTCAAGCCTCTGCCAATCACACAGCTCTGCCAGCCCCTTGACAACCCACTGACAGCCTAGCGGCAGTTTAAAAGCAGCCAATCCCCGATAAACGGCCCTTCCTGAAGCTCTTTACACCCACCACCTCCCCAGCGCCTCCTCAGCTCCTGGTTCCTACTCGGATTTTCGCTCTGGCTCCTGCCCTGGTTCCTGCCCTGGCTCCTGCTCCGCCTGCGCCCCATTCACACCATGCTTCTAGCCACCACCAGTGCTTGACCCCGGGGGTTTGAGATCATCTACATCTACATTAATATTTCTGTCTTGGTCTCTTCAGATTGAATAACAGAGAGGTGTGGGGTCAGAGAGTGTTTGGGCTGTGTGTGTGTGTTCTTTTTAGTTTTTCTTGATGTCCTATATATCACTGTGTGTTTTTTCTACTGTATGGTATTGTTTTTGCAAGATATTGTGTTGAATGGATGATGTGGGTTAGGAATCATTTATGCTTTTGTTTCATCCAACCCCTTATTCGGTCATGTACTTATCATTTATTTTTCCAGTAGGTTAGACTACTGTAACAGCCTGCTCGAAGGTCTCTCTCTCTAAACAAGCTGTTAGACAGCTGCAGTAGATTCAAAACACTGCAGCTCGAGTCCTGACAAAAACCAGGAAGTACGACAATATTACTCCACTCCTCAGGTCTCTGTACTGGCTTCCTGTGGCTCAGAGAATAGATTTTAAAGCGGTAGATGTTTGTGTACCAGTCTCTCCATGGCCTCGCACCAAAGTACTTAAGTGACATTTTAGTGCCAACTTGGACTCTGAGGTGCACAGGGCCTGGCCCAATGTTCAAATCCAGGTTAAAACAATTCTGTTTAGCTGTGTGGGAGTTTCTAGCTAGTTTTGTTCAGCGCTTTTAGTTGCCTTGTGTAAGAACCGTGCTATACAAAAAACCTGCTGTATGTGTAACTGTGCTACACGTTCAAAACAAACAAAAAACTTTTACTATATTCACAATATCCATCAGCCTCATGCACTCTCATGATGGATGTGTTTCAAATTAAGAATAGTTAATCTCATGTAGGCTAAGGATTACCACAAGAAAAAAAAAAGAAAAAATCCGTCTTCAATATGTGACCAGCGGTGAAGGAGGCCAGTTTGTGAGACATAAGTCGCTGTCTTTATGTGTGCAGATGGTGATTGCTCAGACCCTTTAGTTACAGTGAAAACGGGCTGTGATTGACTGTAATTGAGCAAAATAATCACTCGCTCTCTTGGGAGGAAGCCATGCAGTAATTATGTTTTTGTTCAAATCTATTAAAGGTTGCGATCAATCTGAAATACCACTTGATAATATATTAATGTGGATTTCGAGACATCCCATCTTTACTTCCGGCAAATTTACTTTAGTTTCTGAAGACGTCACGATGTACAGTAAAGTAGTATAATGAGTATAATTTTTTTAGTGGTCAATTTAGGGAATAGTGACTCATATGGCTATTTCTTACATTCTGATTATGTGTGTCTGTGTGTGTGTGAATGTGTGAGAATGATAACTATATTATGTGCTGGGTTTTTTTAGTCATCAATTTAGAAAATAGTGACTCACATGGCTCTTTCTTACAAGATTCTGATCATGTGTGTGTGTGGGTGTATATATATATATATATATATATATATATATATATATATATATATATATATATATATATATATATATATACCCGTGTATATATATATACCCATATATATATATATATATATATATATATATATATATATATATATATATATATATATATATATATATATATCAGTAACACACCTGAGCTCATTGTCATTTCATTGCAGTAAAAACACACTTTTTATCATTCATCAGAGAGAGGGAGATAAACACACCAGCACACCAGAATGGAAAGCAGAGACTTGAGGAAATGAATTCAGATACATTATCATATGTACATCCCTCAACTGGAGTCATACATATATTCAAAGCTCCTTCTTCTCTCCCGTCCCTATCTCCACACCACGACTGCAATGTACAGAGGGTGTCTTGGAAAGCTCTTGAAGCCCTTATCTGACCGTGACATCACCAAATGCGTCACTGTAGTGTCAAAAGTTTCATCAGGCCTGGAGCAGCGTATGCAGCTTTCAGCAAGAAGGACCTGTGTGCGGTTTATAAGTATCTAACTGCACACAAGCATTTCCACTCTACTCCGAGACTTCCCCTCAAGACCTGCCAGTCCCTGGTCCCTGGTCCAGCCTCAGCCTACAGTGCACTGGAGGGAGATGCTTTCCATCACTTCGGTCCATCTCCTGAGACTCTGAAAGCAATAGATGATTGAGTACTGTTGCTTTCCTTATTACTTTTAGATCACAACACATAAAACAAGAGTCGGACTTTGGTTTTATGGAGATATGTCATTGCCACATCCCAGAGAAGACATATGTAGATTTTTATTGATGCATGCCTTATTATATTATTAAACTTTATTACAGACACGAAGTCCAGATAAGAAAGACATTACACAAAAAGCACAGTTCACAGAGCACCAGCCCCTCACTGATCCTCCTGCAGGTGGTGAGACCACAGGAGCTGAGATCTTTCAGTGGGAGCTTCAGGCAAAGTGGGGTTAAGTGTCTTGCCCAAGGACACAACGACAGCAGTCATCAGTGGGAGTCGTGAAGTAGGTCTTACGGTGGGCTCGAACCCACAACCTTCAGGCTCAAAGGCCAATGCTCTACCAACTGAGCTACTGTCGCCCCAAAATTTAAATATTAGTTATTAAAACACAGAATGACAGTATTTCGTTTTTTTTTATACCAGGTTTTAACAGTTGACAGTGTCTTCCTGAAAATGTGAGACTGTCTTCTACTCTGACAATGTCAAATCCAGGTTAAAACAGCTCTGGGGGTTTGATCAGAGGGGTTTGATCTCTTTTTAATGTACTGTGATTATTGATGATTTGAATGCCATGTGTAATTGTTTCTATCTTTGCCTTGTGTATGAATTGTTCTAAATATAATCTCCCTTTGCCTTCACCACATTGAGTTCCATGTATTTCATCTTACAGGACATATGTGTGCTAGTTATTACCAGTGGGAGCGGGTCCCGGCTCAAAAAGGTCCATGAGCACATGCACTGACATGCTTGCAATTTCACTCCAGGCCAGTGGGGGTGTACCCGGAAAGAGAATTACCCAATGCTTTAGCAAATCGACGGCTTTGTAAAGTCCTCCGAGATAATTACTGTTGTAATTTAGGGCTGTACAAAATAAATTAAAATATATTCTTGTTCCTTCTAAAGAACAAAACTGTACACGTTCCTTTGCTTCATCATGCAGTCAAATTTTATTAGAAAACGTAGATTTGTACAAATTCATACAGATTTAAATAATAATTTATTTTTGGTCATCTGTGTGTCACATTGAATATGTCGCCCAAAAATTGCAGGTAATAAACTCAATAAATAAAGGCATACTGTGTCATGTAGATGCCAGTGTCATGGTGTTAATGTTAATATTGTGTTTTATTGACAGAATCCGAACAGTTCACGGTGAGTTATTGAAGCAGAAGTCGTCGATGCTGTTGAGTTTGAGGCTCTGCAGCTCCTGAGGTGTCAGGGGTCTGTAGCTGAAGGACACTCTGTTTATGAACCTCCCACTGGACACCATCCTCACCGCCGCGTTCTCACAGCCGATCTTCATCTGGGCTGAAAGAAACATCCAAGTAGATATCATTATTATTATTATTATTACTATTATTACTATTATTTTGATTATTATAGACTGACAGTATTCTTAACCTTTTGATGTTCAATACTTGAAGAAAACAATGTTTTACTAAGATGTAGGAGCATTAACCCTCTCAGTGCCCAATGAATTTGAATGACAGGAAAAATCTGATATTTGGGGACGATTATCATATGGTAATATACAATCCTGACACACAGAGACCTTCTCAGGCAATGCATTCTGGGATGATGCAGATTTGCAACATTGGCCCGCTGTGGTAAATAGAGCTGACCCGGGGAATAACCTAGAGGAGTTATAATTTACTAATTAGCATGTACAGTATCTATATACAGTGAGTATATAATACAGAAAGTATTCGGCCCCCTTGAACCTTTCAACATTTCGCCACATTTCAGGCTTCAAACATAAAGATTTAAAATTTTAATTTTTTGTCATGAATCAACAACAAGTGGGACACAATCGTGAAGTGGAACGAAATGTATTGGATAATTTAAAATAAAAATAAAAATAAAAACTGAAAAGTGGGGCGTGCAATATTATTCGGCCCCTTTACTTTCAGTGCAGCAAACTCACTCCAGATGTTCAGTGAGGATCTTTGAATGATCCAATGTTGTCCTAAATGACTGATGATAAATAGAATGCACCTGTGTGTAATCAAGTCTCCGTATAAATGCACCTGCTCTTTGATAGTCTCAGGGTTCTGTTTAAAGCGCAGAGAGAACCATGAAGACAAAGGAACACACCAGGCAGGTCCGAGATACTGTTGTGGAGAAGTTTAAAGCCGGATTTGGATACAAAAAGATTTCCCAAGCTTTAAACATCTCAAGGAGCACTGTGCAAGCAATTATATTGAAATGGAAGGAGTATCAGACCACTGCAAATCTCCAAGACCCGGCCGTCCCTCCAAACTTTCATCTCAAACAAGGAGAAGACTGATCAGAGATGCAGCCAAGAGGCCCATGATCACTCTGGATGAACTGCAGATAACTACAGCTGAGGTGGGAGAGTCTGTCCATAGGACAACAATCAGTCGTGCACTGCACAAATCTGGCCTTTATGGAAGAGTGCCAAGAAGAAAGCCATTTCTCAAAGATATCCATAAAAACGCTCTCCATCCAACCTCACTGAGCTCGAGCTGTTTTGCAAGGAAGAATGGGCAAGAATTCCAGTCTCTCGATGTGCAAAACTGATAGAGACATACCCCAAGCGACTTGCAGCTGTAATTGCAGAAAAAGGTGGCGCTACAAAGTATTAGCGCAAGGGGGCCGAATAATATTGCACGCCCCACTTTTAAGTTTTTTATTTGTTAAAAAAGTTTAAATTATCCAATAATTTTCGTTCCACTTCACGATTGTGTCCCACTTGTTGTTGATTCTTGACAAAAAAATAAAATTTTATATCTTTATGTTTGAAGCCTGAAATGTGGCGAAATGTTGAAAGGTTCAAGGGTGCCGAATACTTTCGCAAGGTACTGTATATTCATCTTAATTTTATGCGGTTTTGGTTGCAAATGATCAAAGGTTGGTAGTGATACTGACTTGACATTGATGCCTAGGAAATCTGTTTTGGTGAAACCAAGAATACTGACATTTTGGAAGTGAGACTGCTCCGTCCCCTGGTGAGAAGGTGGAAAACTGTGAATTGCTAAAGCTCAACTAAGTCCAACAGTGGCACTTCTGAGTAAAAAAGGGTCAAAAATACGGATTAGGAGAAGTTAGTTAAGAAATAAATTTGTTGCAAATCTGCAACGCCTGCCTGGAGAGGGTTTCTGTTTTCATTTTTATTTTTTTAACTCCTAGTTTTGTTTTGTTTTAAATTATTGGCCTCTATCAAATGATTGAAATTCAGCTTGATGGTAGAAGTGCCTAAAACTAAGTGATAGAGATTCCCCAATGAGGTAGATTTCATTTAGAAAAACATGCTTCAAGTAGATACAGTGACTCAAAAGGTGATCAGTCAAGGGTTAAGCGACGGCTGCTCACTGGGGCCGGTGAAGGAGATGCAGAGGTCTGTGACTGGTGAGAGTTTGGACGGGTCGATGGTGTTTCCTCCCAGTAGTTGCACAAAGTCTCCGGTCTCTGCGCAGCCTGGAAGCGGCCGCTACTCGCACACATGTGAAAGAAATATGTGTTTAAAAAATGCTCTAAAAACATGCTTTATTAAGTTGTTCTCGAGTCTAGAATTATTTCTGAATTCTTTGACTATTACTACTTTTCTGTTTTCTGTAACAAAGGTCCTATCAAATACATCCTCTTTTTAAATGAATGTATAGGAACTGCATTCCATGTTTTGAGCCATGTACGTTTTATAGATAAGTTAAGATAATCCTTTATTCGTTCCATTTTACTATACATTTCACTTCATATAAATTCTTCACATCATAACAGGATCAGATGATATATATGTAAAGCATGTATCTGTCTTGGACTTAGTGGACAAACCTTTGCAATGTTGTTGTAGTGGCCCAGGCTAAATTCTGACACCTCTATTTCCACTGGATAAACGATGGAAAAGCTGCAGTTTCGATGCTGCTGTGGGATCACCATCGTAAAGCTTCCCTCTGGTGACTGAGAGATGACATTACACGCTGTAAAAGGATCCAAAAAAAGTTACATTACCATCACATTAACTAAAAAACACATGTGACATTTGTACATTAAACTGACAGAGTGCTTACGAAAAGGGTTGTTGTGTTTTCTGACGGTGATGGTAAAACTGCTGCCTTCGTTGTGGATGCGGAAAAAGATCATGGCCACGTTTTGGTTGGAACGCACGGTCTTTCTCACCGAACCCGAGTCACAGTACGACACATAACGCTCGAACGAGGGCAGAGGGTGGTCCTGCGAACTGGGGAACTTCTCGCCTTTCATCACCCAGCCGTCGAATACCTGGAGACACAAGATGGCCGTCACGAGGAGTCTATGAAATGTATTACAGGAACAATGAGAGGAAGGTAGAAGACAGTAATTATTGAGTTTTCTAATAATAAACGGTTCAGGATCAGTGAAGTGTTTCCATGTTTTTCTTTTAGTTATTTCTGTTATTGATTTTAGTCATCCTCTCTGTCTCTTGTACAGCTCCAGGGCTCCACCTTTTGTCAAATCACATATCTGAGAGAAGAATTGATAAGAGCGAGATGCGAGAAGAAACCTATCCATCTTGAACTTCCCATGACAAGATTTTCTGATGGAACAAACAGCAGGGAACGTTTTGCCGTCTGATTTCAGGAGATGTGCTTGTTCCATTTGCAAAATGTATTTATGGATTTTTAACATATTTTCATGTTGCTTGCGCATGCAGTGATGTAGTATCCTTGATGGACATGTTTGCACATTCATTAACATTTCTGGACATTGGTCATCTCGCTCCATATGGGCCAATGACTAACATTTCTTGTGTTTGTACAGTTTGATTCTCTGATCTGCTGTTGGTCAATCAAGAACTCTGTAAAGTCCTCCAAGAAGGCTGCTGTTGTGATTAGGGCTGTACAAAAATAAGTGGAATTGATTTGATTTTAGCCCAATAACATCCCTCTTAAATCTTATACCAATAGAGCGGAGATTGTTACCTGAGCCCCTGAATGCAGGACACTTTGTATACAGCGACCTGGCTTCCCACAAATGTTTCCCTACATCTAACTGAAACCATTGTATCTATTCTGAAATCAACCTTTTGTCTGTCTCACATCAGTTTTCTGAAAATACATGTTGTGAAATAAAATTGAAAGGGTAATGATGAATAATAATATCTTGGTTTTATGCAAATTTTCTGGACACTTAAAACGCTTAAGGTGTCATTTTTCATTCACTCCATACACAATGACGATAAACTACTACTTTAGCCACACCTGCCCTGGGGCACACTGACAAAAGCGAGCCAGAACGTACCATCGGCCCCTCCGACCACCACCAACCATTCTCGCGCGTACACCAGACTCACGACAGGATAATTCCCTGCGTGGGTCACAGGGTATAAGCCCCCAGCAGCATATGGCGTCTGGTACGTGCTGCTTGTTGTGAGTTTACCGTGATGAAGTCGCCTCCTCTGCAGTCCACGTCCACGCTGTCGTACTCCAGGCTGAGGACTTCGTTGGGTTCTGCCATGAAGAAGGCGGCGCAGTTGGGTTGAGGCCGGTCTGCCGTGAAGGTGAACTGCCCCTCCACTGAGATCATGTCCAGGCATCCTATAAAAAAACACATCGAAGAACACATGAACCAGTGAAGAACACTGTAAAAAAAAAAAAGGAAAATATAACTAAAAAAATTGGCTAAATGTATTGTAATGTGAGAATTTCTCCATTCAAGTTTATCTTATATTTTGACAGTTGCCAATGGGACAAGCAAAAATATCTTGTTTTTACTTTTTTTTTTTTTACAGTTTTAATCAAAAAGAGAACTAATACGGACATAACAGACAATAGACAGAAATAAAAATGAACAAATAAAGAAAATAAAAATGTATATATATGTTATTTTGTTTTAAAAAGATACAAGAAATGTCTCCCTTGAAATAGGACAGAATTAAATGAGACTAAATGGCTTTGACCCATTGGTGAATCGTGTTTTAAGACAGTCAGAACGTACTCAAATAAAAAAAAAACAATCGATTCAAGCATTTATTATCTCATATTTTATCAGAATCCCACAATACATAAAAAAAACAATGTCTTACGCAAACTTCTGCGATAGATGAGCTCTTCTGGAATCTCTGACATCTCTCTCTTAAGGTCCAGGTTGAAAACTGAATAAATGTCATCCTTGGATATCTCGTTGTTCTGCCATAACACAAAGTCGACAGTTTTGTGAAAGTTATTAACAAAGGCACACACACACAATCCCTCTTACCTCTATGTATCTGCAGTCTCCCGTGAGGACAGACACGCACAGCGCCAACAGGAACAGCTGCTCTCTGAAGGTGCGCTCCATTACGCGCCTGGATCGGACACTGACGCACGCGTTGCATTTCCCCGCGTCTCGTCTCTCCTTTTATACAGCACTCCCACCCGCCCCGGTGCCTGGACCACTGATCGATATGGGTCATGTCTCACCACAGAGGGGCATCAGCCAATTGTTTGTGACGAGAGCGAGAGAGAGGGAGAGAGGGAGAGAGCGGACCAATGCAAAACTATGCACTTAAAGGACATCAATGCGTAATGCTGGGCTGCTTTTTCCCCAGTACAGATAATCGGCTTACATTGTGTTTGTACCAGGAAGAGTCTTTTTAAAGTATAAGGATAGGAGACAAATTAAGACCACAACATGCAGTCTTTATCTATAAAAAACTATTTTGCGCTTTAAGGCTGAGTGATGGAGGTCCACTCTTTATTACTTTTCTGGCTGACAAAAACGACGGCGTGACTAAAGATACAGGCCAAAAACATGTTACTGGATATCTATGAACATTTTTGGTCATTGGTCATCATCTTCCCCGTATGACCCAGTGGTTCTATCTGTTGTTTTAATCATTGCATTTCCTGTGTTTGATTTTCTGATCTGTGATTTAAGGCTATTCAGTAATGTATTTATTTATATATTTTTATTTGTCAAACTTTTTCATGATAATGCAAGAAAACGTAACATTTTCTTTTCAATTACATTTTCGTAACAATTTCTGGGACACAGTTCACAGAGCACCAGCCCCTCACTGATCCTGCAGGTGCTGAGTCCACATGAGCCTTGATTATTCAGCAGGGGCTTCAGGCAAAGTGGGGTTAAGTGTCTTAACTTAAGGACACATAATGGCAGCAGTCATCAGTGGGAGTCATGAAGTAGTGGTGGGCTCAAACCCACGACCTTCAGGCTCTAAGGCCAATGCTCTTCCAACTGAGCCACTGTCACCGCTAACAACAATAATACAGCAAATACAATAGTAATATATTCCATGAAAGGCAGAACAGGAGTAGGATGAAGAAGAAAATCAAATACGTTTGAATTGAGTTAAAATTGAAGAAACATGTGTAAGAACATGTAAGAACCAAATTGTTTTTAGAGAGTGTTGGAGTCTCTATTAGTTGAAATATGTGTTGTTTTCCACAGTATCCCAGCTTTATACCACATTAAGCACCATCTGGTTGTTAACTGCTGTGATCTTTGGGGGACAGCTTTGGGGTCCCAAAGCTGTCCCTGTTCCTACTCACAACCTTTTGTTTTAGATTTTCCCCTCAGAAAGTATATCATAAACACAGACAGTTACACATACTCATAATCTAATCTATGACAGAAAATACATTCAGGTTTATAGTATGAGTTACTTGGTATAAAAGCTTGTGACAGATTTGATTTGAACAGACAAAAAACCAGGTTTGTGTATTTGTTTCTTGATTAGCCGCTCTTAAACGCACCAGTTATTATACTTTGCACTCGCAGATTAACACCTGGATTAGTCAATATAATTGACCCCAAACACGTTTATCACCTCATGCCTCCTCACTCTCTCCTGCAGTTTGAAAAGCAGGTCGCAGATGTTGTTTCTGGACTCTATGTTCCAGGGATAACATTCTTTGAAGTCCTTGATGATATTGTGTTTTATGTTTGGTTTGTAGTAACTTATGGAAAAGGCCTAATTTTCAATAGTTCAGAGTGATTTGATTCTAGTCAGTGCAGAGTGACACTCTTCAGATCAGTGCATTTTGCAGTTAGAAACCCTTAATTGTAACTATTTTTAAAAAGTGACATATTTGCACAAACTACTAAATCAATGAAGGACAGACCTCTGAGAAACCTCTGACAACGCTCTGCTGCTGAGATCTCCTTGTCCTCGGCCTCTGCAATCATGTTTTGTATCAAATTAATATATTTGCTTCAGAGTTAATATTATGCCGCTTTTCCACAGTAACGGTTCGGTACGGTGCGGCACGGTACCGTATCAAAAATAGTAACTCCTAGTATCTCCTCAGCGTTGTCAGACCACGCGGCGACGCGTAACTAGTAACATTGGTGCAGTGCATGGAGTTATTATAATATCGGTGATAGCTGGTTATTACCTACGAGGGGACTCTGCTTACCCCCTGCAGAACTGGCTCCTAAAACCTTTTCAGGATCGAGTGACAGACTAACATCGAGTATTTAATAGAAAATTCAGCACAGCGCGAATGGTTGTTGAAAATGCTTTCGGCAGTCTTAAAGGAATGACTCGGGCTCTGAACATGTGAAGTCAATGGTGCTGACTTGCTGTGTTCTGTACAATCTGTGCCAAAACCACGGAGAGACCTGTGACACCTGTGGCAACAGCAGCCTTTAGCAGTGGTGCAGAGGAGGGTCTGATGCATAACTTTGTCATATGCCTAAACATTTACTTTGCCCTTGTTTTGACCACACAAAAAAACGTTTTGTATTTAGCAAATCCTTTTTCATAAATTGACCAAGGTTATACGGATTTAGTGACAAATATAATGTACTGTATGTGATGTAAATAAAAAGTACAAAGTACGTATATCTCTTGAGACCAGGTCAGGGTGAGGAGAAAGTTACGGTAAGTACTCCAGGCACTCATTGCTCGTTGGTAATCTCCACACTTATGGGAAGGGATTCTAAAACAAATACATATATACACAACGGCAACACGTGAATACAGCAGATAATAGGAAATAAAGCACAGTAGCACAGGAAGGACGTTAGCTTATAGCTTGCTATCGATAGCTAAATGTAGCTAAATATAGCTACCTCATTGTGTACAACAATCTAACATTTACACGAGTAAATACAATTCAGTGAGAGCTTTGGGCCAACGGGATACGTAGCTAATGTCCAGTTATGTCCAGGATTACCACAGACTGGCGGCACGGTGGCTGAGTGGATAGCACTCTCGCCTCTCAGCAAGAAGGTCCTGGGTTCGAATCCCGGTCGGACCAGGGCCTTTCTGAGTGGAGTTTGCATGTTCTCCCCGTGTCTGCGTAGGTTTCCTCCGGGTGCTCCGGTTTCCCCTACCACTAAAAATATGTCCAATAGTTCTGGCATGCGCCTCCTGTACTGGCCCCGCTCCCATCTCTGTGTGGAGTGAGAGACAAATGCCCAAAATTAACAATTGTAAACCGCTTTGAGACTCAGATCTGCAGTGAAAAGGCGGTATATAAATAAAAACTTACTTACTTACTTACTACTAGACTAGTCACAAATCCAGAACGATCTCCCTGAAAACCTTTGAATTCTTGAAGACGACTTCTTTCAGACAGAGGAGGTCCAGTCCCCAACGGACGACACATCTGTTTTGTCTTCTGCTGCAGCAGAGGTTTTCATTGATAACCTTGAGGAGGAGGTTCAGACACCACCGGAGGAGTGTGTGCATATAGAGTCTCCTGAAGACACTGCTACTGATGGTGTTGAACAAGCAGCACATCTGAGAGACCAGGAACAATCACCAGAAGTTGCACAGACTGAAAATGAGGAGGTAACAGTTCACAATGTCCTTGATCAGTCTGAAGAGAACCACGGCGCAATTTTTGAAGAAAGTGTTGGAATTACAAATGAAAACTGCCTGACAAGTCCTTAGAAGACTTGACTCTGAGGGCTCAAGAGACAGTGGTCAATGACACGGTTAATTCTACGTCACAACCTGACTTTATCACTGAGGATGTCTCTGAGTCTTCAGATAGCAGTTTATCACCGGAACCATCTACTGAACCATGTAGGATTTCTCCAAGTCTCCTCAAAGGCTCATACTTCATCATCAACACACTCACCCAAAAACGGATCAAACTTGCTGGATCCAAAGACCACTGTAACGCCAGTCTAATGGGTGTCCGCCTGCATCTCAGCATCAAGCAGCAGCTGGAGTTAGATGAAAACTGACAGATAAAGCTGAAGAACTTAGAGAAAGTTGGGAAATCAGTGGCTAAACGTCTCTCTGCGGAGTATGGATCGGCAGACGCAGTCCTGAGAGCGGCTCAAATGGACGCAGCTGCATTTGAAGCGGCTGTATCGAAACATATAAACGCTGAGTTGAGTGGATGCCAGAAGCGTCCCAAGTCTGCGCTGTGAGGGCTTTGCTCCAGGATGAGGAGGGCCTTCACCTTCAACTAAGGACCTACGCCAGAGGACCGGCATTTCGACCCTTTTTGAGGAGAAACTATTCGCTTTCTTGAAGATGTGTTCCCAGTGTTTTAAGATAACTTTGAACTATTTTTGAGGAGGCATGCGTTGCTTTCTTGAAGATTTTCCAAGTCTTTTAACAACATTTCGAACCATTTTTGAGGAGGCACTCGCGGATTTCTTGAATATGTGTTCTCAGTGTCGGTCCCCTACTAGTTTTGGGATGAAGCTTAAAACTAGTGATGTGATTAAATAAAATATATGCATAGCAATAATTTCTTATTTGTTTGATGTCTCAAATTTACCCTTGGGTTTTGTGTCACTGAATGCTACATAAACATTGCATTCAAAAATAATAAGTAAGGAATACATTTGTCATCATTTTGAACTGCTAAAAATGTTAAAATGTAAATAGATGTGTTTTGTGCTGAATGTAAAAAGTTAATTTGTTCATTACAAAATACACAGTTGAGGCCTCTGACACTTGTTGTGGCAGGAATGTGTAAAGTGACCCTCTTGCTGGAGCCATTCTGCAGTCATTCCACCTCTGCTGCTCCTGGCCACCGCTGAACCTGCAGCGTGGTCTGGCTTCTGCTTCTTCTTCTGCATCTACAGTATCTTGTTATTTCATAATAAATTGGTATTATAGTATTTTTATTATGAAATAACGTTATCTATATCTGGTTCAAAAATAAAATTATCTTGAAATAACGTGAAATTATCTTGAAATAATGTGATACAAAAAAAAACATGCAAGTGTACTCAAAACACTTCAGGACATTTGACATTAACTTTCATCATAATCATTGCATTTCCTGAGTTTGAACCTGTTCCTCAGTAGCTAATGGCGACCTTATTAAACTAAACAGCTCTGAATGCAGACGCTGCTCCCTCTTCAC